CAGTGATGTAGGCGTACAGCCTTCATGTCTGGAGTGCTGAGCTGCAGGATGCAGATGGGGAAACCCAAGGAGCTGTCGGACTGAACTCATTTCCCCTTCTTGTTTCTCTGCAATTTCACTTTTTACATCATGTCTGGCTGGAAGTGCTGTGATAACAGCTATCTCTCTTCTAGCATGTGCAATCTGCACAGGGCTGTACCTTGAGCTGAGTCAGTCTTGATGTTAACAACAAATATCTGGCCGTGCTCTGAGCACCTGCCCCTTAATCCCTAAGGGAAGGTGTCACTTGCAGAGGCAGACAGAGTTCAGCTCAGCTAAGCACGTGATCCCAGCAGTTAATATAGAACGTGCAGCTGAGATATGTCCTATGGGTATATGTTGTATTTACACATGATAAGTACAAGACTGTACCACTCAAAAACACCATGACAGTTACAGAAAAGATGAAGAAGAAAGCACATACAAAGCTACAGTTTTCATATGAGCTTGTATGCAGATTAGAAAAAAGACAAATGTTCCATCCCAAATAATGATCTGAGGGAGCAGAAAGTAGGTGTTAATGTAAGAGGTGTATGTGTTTTGTTACAGTGTTTATTGATAATTTCTTAGACAAACTCCAAAATGGTGTGTTGAAGCAGTGTGAATATTTTAAGGTGCTCTGAATCAGAATATTGCTGTTCAGGGATAACAGATTTAAATATATTGACTCAAATGTATTGCGAGATGCCGTGATTCAAATTACATTGACAAAATGTTAGCAATGTTGAGGTAACAGTGTTTTCAAGATCTTGGCCCCAGTCATTCCCGTGATGGATTTACAGAGTTTGTGTGTCAGCTTTACTGCTGCCAAAGAAAGGAGAACACGTATCTTTCAAAAAAGTTGAGACAGGCAAAAGAATACAGCAAATACAAAGACATGAGATACAAGTGCATGAGGATGTGAAAAAGTCATAGTTTTTGAAGGTTCCAAAATATCCTCTCTTTATATTTTACAATGTTTGACAAATTCCTTCTTTGATGTGGTAAACAAATGTATTTTGGTCACTGCAGATTATGATTAAACAGCACTCCAAATAAATTTTCTCCTTTTTTGTTTTTATGTTTACATTCAATTAAAATATTAATTAAATTTGTCTCATAATGACTTCTAATTTAAACAATATTGCATTTAATATTGGTTTAAGACTAGGTTGGAGTCACAGAAATAGGAACAAAAATGGTGTCACAAACAAAAATATGTTGCAGCACTTCATCATCTAGATGCAACAAGTCATACATAACACATCTTGTTAATATAAAAAGGATAGTTCAGCAACAGTAGAGAGCTAAAATATGTTATCATAGAATCAGATAAAATCATACTATTTTGAGTTTTTAGTTTTAAATTTGCTCTGCTGCTGTTTAGTTTTCACACCAAAACAGTCAAAAATAAATTGCTGGTTTTCCAAATGATGAAGGGTTACTTCAGGAACTCCAGGCAAGGAAATCAATGACAGACCTGTGAAGCATTGGATGAATGTCAGAATGAAGAAATTATAACTAATGCATTAATAAAACATCACATGATCTTTAAAGACAGAAATTACCAAGATTTTATCACACTCTAAACAGTTACCAGAAAAAAAGTGGACTTAACTGTAACTAATACATGGGAAGGATAATATTAATCTTGAAACATGAACTGTTTTGTCTGTAGAGAAACCACAATATCTTTCATCTGAGGGTAACACTTCAGCTTTTATTGCATGTTTATGTATTTTATCTATCTGTAAATAGAAGTAGCTTTAGCTGCTTTTTTGACTTTTAAGCATGTGCTGAAAAACCTGAATCAATGGCACTCATCATTCACTGCTTTCTCTGGACCAAAAGCCACACACGGAAGGAAAAACCCCTTTCTTTAATCTGCTATTCTCCACGTAAAACCCACGACAGGAGGGAAAATCCATGGGCTGTTGCAGGGTGCTGGGAGGCCCAGGACCTTCAGGTAACTTCACCAGGACATTTGCTGAGCCAATGGCATCGGCTGAGCCATCTCCCTCCGAGTCCCTCTGCTGCCTCTTCCTCTGCCATGTCCACTTTAAATCCCCTGCAGGAATGTCTCCTTTTTCAATACCTGCAGAAGTGGGCAACAGACACACTGTTAAGTGTGCCATAGCTTGCCCCCACAGTCAAGACCATACTTAATTGCAACAAAGGAGAAAACAGCCCAGAAAGGATTCAGCCCATGGAAACTTTGGAGCTGGAATCGAGCAGGGCACCCACAGTCCCTGCTTGAGACTCCCACCCATTGTGCCCTACACTGCTCTTTCATTGTATTTAAGAGCCACTGACAGGCCTTTACTCCATGCGGTTTCATGTGGTTTGTTTAATGGCTTTTTGTCTCCTGTTGATTGCGTTCCACAATTCAATGGTACATTGCCAGAAATTTGTGTCCTCGTGTTTTAAAATATTCCATCTTGGTTGGTTGTGTTTTTCCCTTTTTCAGACCATTAATTAGACCCAGCAAACTTGGATTTTCCCTCCAGAGATGACTTTTCCAACCATTCCATTGCCTTTTTTGCCTTTTTTGCCTTTTTGTGTTGTACTGCACTCTTAAGGAGAGGAAGCAACCAGAGGTACTCATGGTACTCAAGGTGTCAAGTTCGCAGAAACATGTTTTCCATTTTGTTCCTTATTCCTTTCTTTATAATTCCTAGAATTCAGTTTCACTTTAACAGTTAAATGAACGTCAGATGCTTTCTAAGAGCTATCCACAAAGACCTCTCTTCTGAGTGTTAGCACTCCGTGCAGATTTGTGGATCTATCATTGGAGTTGTTTTTCCTATGTTTCACTCAGCAGCACGGAAATGAACACAGCATTTATCAGCAGGTCGCTCTGGACCTCCAGATATTGGAAACATCTTGTTCTCAGTTTTAGTTTCACCGTCAAGTACCCCAAATAACATCAGAAATGGCTGCTTTCCCATTATTCATCCTGTTTGCCCACTCACTCAGGAATTTCCAGGGCAGAAAAGACTTCTCGCCCATGGAAAATTGAGCTGTTAACCTTCTGTTGCCACGAAAATTCATTACAGCTCCTTTACTTTCTATGCCTTACTTAGTCATTAATCTCTTTATGCCACAAAAATGTAATTTCCTTTAAGGTCAAGAGCTTCGTGGAAAGCTCTCCATGCGTGCATCACTGGCTGTTGCGTGACATTTGGAATTGAACCAGTGGGTTGTATCAGCTATTGACAGAGAGGCTGAGCTCCCCAAAGCTTTTTGCCAACAGTTGCTTTGGCAACATCTGGTCCTCACCACGGATACATCATTTTCCATGCACACCCCTCTCTGAAGTGATTCCCTTGTACTGTAGTGGGGCCTTGCTGTGGGCTGCTCCTGTGGGTTGCTGGTGGTGATAAGACCAACTAAGGAAGGCCCTTTAAAACCATCCCAGGCAGCAGGACACAGTTTACCAGCTCCTGGCACCACTCCCAAAAGATCTTTCTGGTGGCAGTATCTTGTCCCCTCATCTATGACAGTCTGATCAGAACGACTATTTCTTCTGGCTCCCTTCTCCAAGTAGGCAAAAGGTAGCAAAGGAAAAAGATGGAAAAGAACAAGAATAATAGGAGAACACAGAGCTAAGCTAGTGCCTGCTCACTGAAACATCTGCTCTACAAGAACTGGGTCTTGATGGCATGTAGCAAGCAGCTACCAGGAGAAACACAGACCTTCGTGGGGTGGTTTTCAGGGAATCTGCAGGGCAAGGCTTTGCTGAGCAATGGGAGAGCAATGATTCACAGGCCCGGGCTCCCCTTTGCCTAAAAGTGGCGAGTGCTTTTACGTGACATGCAAGGAGTTTTCCACTCCTCTCCTATTCCACAGAAGAAAGCAGCTTTCCACACAGCACATGAGGGGAGAGGACAGGAGATAAGGCTAGGACCATCAAACATTGTGTATAGTCCTATCCATAGCTAAGTGGGGCCATGTCCATTGGGTCCATCAGCTTTGAACCAAATTTACCATCATTTTGCCCTGTGTAGTCCTTATTTCCTATCAAAGTCCTAAACTAGAAGAGTTGTTTTACTCTTTTTCAGCAGATAAAAAGCAGTCACTGTAGCAGTTTGTTCTGCTACATCCTCTCAAACTTTTGGCTATGAAAAGCCTAGTTCTGCTTTCTTCCAGCACATTTCTCCCCTGCAGAGCAGCAGTGCAGGTGACCTGAAAGCCGAGCCCACGGCATAACTCCGAGTGCAACAGTGCTCAGGTCCAGACAGGAGGCTCTCAAGAGAAACACTGATTGCAGCGGGACGACTAGGCAACCCTATACGCCTGCCTGCGCTTTGCAAGGTTGTTGTAGTGTTCCTGTTTGCCAGCTCACCGCAAACATTTTGGCAGAAAGATTTGCTGTACCCACTGGCATCTTACAAGTACATTTTAAATTAGACGGTTGCAGGATCCAGGTTCCAACTTCTTTTCCAAAGCGCTTCTCTTGTCACTGGGGCAATCCGCGTGCCTATCGCCGTCCTTGAGTTGCTATTACTCAGTCAATAACTCTGTCAAGTGGTACCTTACCAGGAAACACGCCGTAATCGGCAGCTCTGGGTCAAACCAGAAGTACTTGTGCTTTGCCATGTGCCTCTCTATTCAAGCTCTCTGAAGGTCTCATTATTGGAGACGGTCAAACAGAGGGGCAGATGCAACACACGTAAAACCTCTCTCGAACGCGATAATCGCTCGAGCTGAGTAAGACCTACCCAGAACTTCCTCCCTCCACCACGCATTGTTATGGACGCTACAAATACCCGCCGGCGGGCTCTGCCGTCTCACATTTTCACCCCGGCTGCCCTTCGCGCCGGGTAAGAATTAAACCCCCCGCTCTCCCCGCGGCCGAGCCCCGCCGGCAGCATCCAGCTCCGCGGCGCTCTCCCCCGGGCATGGGGCACGGTGAGCGGCCAAGGGGCGGGGTGAGGCGGGGCGGGACGGGACGGGGGCAGGCAGGGGCCGCCGGAGCGGGGAGCGAAGCCTGTCCGGCGGTGGCGGCGGGAGCAGAGTGCCGGAGGCAGGACCCAAGGGGGGCGGACGCGCCGGAGAAAAGCCCGGAGGGGAGGTCGGTCAGTCGGGGGGTACCCTGGAGGGGACGCTGCGGGGACTGGCGGCGGGCAGGGCCGGGGCGATCCCATCCCATCCCATCCCATCCCATCCCATCCCATCCCATCCCATGCCGGCCCGGCTCGGTCCTGCCCGGCGCAGCCCCGGGGTGGGATGCGGCGGCCGCGGAGCTCCGGGGTGAGCTCGGCGAGCGCAGCTCGGGGCTCCGGGACGGCCCGGCCCACACCCCGCCCGCCTGCCGGGGCCGTCCCGCTTCGGCGAAGGAGGGCGAGGTGTCCCCGTCCTGCCGAGCCCCGAGAGCGGTGCCGGTCCGGCCGTCGCGGCGTGCCTGGTACGGGCGCGGTGGCGGGCACGGGACGCGTGGGAGCCCCGGGACTGTGGTGATTGCTCTGTGAGACCGCGGACACGTCGGGTGACTTAGACAAGATGTTTGTCACCTCCAGAAAGTTCGGGTCGCTGCAGTAGTGGAAATCTGTGAACGGAATCCCGGAGTTTGGAGGCGGGGGGAGTAAGTCGGGAGTGCTGGGAGACGGGGAAAGAAGTCCAAGTGAGTTCCCTTTAACGTGCAAGAATTAAACCAGCCGGGAGTGATGAGGGTGTGCATGTGTGCTATTCGGAATTACAAAATTCAAACTGATATCTAAGAGCCAGAAGTCAGGAAAAGTAACTATTTGTTTTTCTGAGGCTGTAAACTGCCAGCACATCCGCTTAAATAGAAAAGCTTTCTAACGTTTATTTGAGTTGTCTAAGACATTGTTCTGCAACAGATGTTTATTGTCTAAACTTCATTTGCATCTAGCACAGCTTAATTTCAGTGTAAATGTATTGAAATGTGCTGCTGTTCTGAAAAGCCTTTTCTGTTAATGAGACTAGCTGATAAATTACGTTTACTTTTCAATTGCAAAGGCTGTACAAATACATAAAATACAAAAAAGTTTGGCTTTGGATATGTATTATTGTCTTTGCCATTTTAAAAATTTTCTTTGGTGGCCAAAGACACGGCAGAGAAGGGAGAACTGAAATATGTGTGGTAGTGGTGAAGGAGCATCCAGTTTCTTTGGTCAAGTCTGTTCATGGCCACTTGGAAAGCAGGAAAATACAATTCTGGCCAAATTACAGTGAGTGTACTGAATGCATAGCATTATATATTCTTGTGCAGGCAAAAGTAGCTGGTGAAAAGTTAAGTTCTATTCTCACTTTGTTCTCACTTGTTGCTTTGACTTTCAGAAAATTGAGAGCAGTTTGGTTCACTCTTTTGAAAACAGAAATTTCTTATTTCTCTTAGATGTAAAGTACAGAGTGACTCATGAGATGGTAAAAGCCCTCAGGTCCCTGTGGAACTCTTAACCAGAGTGCCTGCTGGAAACAGAGAGCAGAGATGTACTGGAGATGGTTGCTGAAGGGTTTTGGCATCCTCATTATCACAAGTTCCCTGCTGGCATTGGGAATTACACATTCCCAGAGGAAAATTGCAGGCCGGGGGAGCTGGTGAGAGGTATGACTCTGAGTTTCTACCTGTACCATTATGTGTTTGAGCTGGAGAGGGCAGTGGAGATGTGCCTTGCAGTAGGGCAGGTTAAGGGATTGTGGCCTTCCACTCAGTGTTGCTTCATTCATGGCAGAGAGACCATACAGACCCCAGTGGGATCTAGGTTTATGAGCCATGCTAGAGAGCCCCTGCTCCAAACTGAAAGGGTGCTTGACCCTGCTAGGATCCTTGACCTCTGCAGGAGACCACATTAACCACTGCAGACACCCCAAAGCATGGGGTGGGCCAGGAGATTAGCCAGGAGGGGGATATCTTGGTGTTCATGGCTGACCCCAACTGCTCTCTCCACCCTTGGAGTAGGGAAGCCAAATAGCTGGAGGAGGCAGCTGAATTTTGCCCTCCACATGATTGTGGTTCCACATGACTGTGGTTCTTGACATTGTACCACTGCCTTTATTTGAGTAATGTAGCTGTCGCTGTTTTAGCCATCACATCCGTGAGGAAGCACAGCCAGACTGCCCCTGCAATGCAGAGAGGTTAGTTTATCTTTCTAGTGGTATCTGGTGGTAGAGCGATAGGGATCCCCTGCCTTGCTTTAGAGGGAATAAAACTCATTTCCGGTGGTTTCAAGAGTTCAGGGTGCTGAGGTACCTAACCATGGCAGTGCTGGGCAAACAACAGGCCACAGGCAGGTTCTTCGGGTTATTTTTTAAATATTCCGAACTGAAGTCCATACTTTGCAGCTAGTATGTGACTGGGGCACATATGTGTTTTGCAGAGTAAATTGTGGTACTGTCAGAAAGCAGTGACACAGGTTATCCCGGACCTGGCCATTGCTGTCTTGTTATTGTAATGCAAAACCAACATCAATTTTTCTAACTGCTAAAGGGAGACTGTGCTTTCTGAGTTACTGGCTACAAAGCAGGAGAAATACATAAGAAGGGTATGGCTAAAAGATATTACTTGGAAATGTTGCTGCCAGAAGAGAATAAATTTTAATTTATTGCATTATTATTTATATTAACTTTCAAGTGTCTTATGCGTGACACTCATTCCATGAGAGTCCTGGCAGATTGTAATGTTACAGCCTTCACTGCCTTCTCACTAGCCTGTCAGAGGCAAAGACTTACTTTTGTGATACTAAGTTTGCTGTAATAATTTTAAGAGAAGCAATTTCGAACAGTGGCAGAGCCCCTGTACGATTTCTGCTGATTGAGTGCATCGTCCTTGCCTTCAGCCAGGGGAACTGGTACAACACCATTGCCTTTAGCAGAGTCATGACAGTTTGCATCTGCTGAGTTGTGGCTGATAAACTCCTATGTATGGCATATAATTTTCTTCACAGAAAGAGATGTATTTGCCCTTTGATAGACCAGTGTGATAACTGGCTTGAAAAAGACTTCCAGAAACATTTATTTTGTTATGTGTGGTGCTCCTAAACGTTAGGAATATTATTCTCTCAGGCAGCCATCAGCCAGCCTGGTGAGTATTGCTGGTTGAGCTATTATTAACAAACACTTTTCAAGTCAAATGTAATTGTTTATTTTACAGTGGAAAGCACTTGCAATTCATATGGACACAGTGGGATTTTGTTATAAGCCAATACAATGAAAGGCTGTGACAATTTATGTGATAACAGTGTGCAGATTGTGAGTGAATTACTATTACATTGAACCTTAGCTGAGGTGAAGTTGTTCTGTCGAGAGCTCCACTGTTACCACATTTCAGAAAAGAGTTTTAACAACTCGAGGGCCCAGTTCAGCTTCTGGGAAATGAATGAGGTGGTTGCTGTCATCTTCAGAGTAAAAAAGGACCAAGGACACCACAGTTTGGAACTATGAACTAGAGTGGGAAAATTACAGTGGGTAAATAGCCAGTTATTTTCTCAGAAAATAATTTTAAAACACCCTGAGTGTACTAAAGAATTCAAGTCAATTTACTGTAGGCTTTTGTCAGATCATGTCCTTTCTGAAGGAGGGAAACCAGGAAAAGAGAGAGTAGAAAAATAGGGTGTGGGTCATCCCTTTAAATCCCTTTACATTCTTCTGGGATGTGGTTTGCTCCTCCCCTCATCATCTTGAGAGACACTTGAAAATATATTTCTCACTTTTTGAGTGCCCCAAGCAGACTGCTGGGTTGGCAGTGGCTCACACATTTTTCTGGTCTTCAGAAAACTGTATAGGATCATAAAAACATAGAATGGATCTGATTGGAAGGGACCTTAAAGATATCTAGTTCCATCCCCCCTTCCCTTGATACCTCTCTTTTGAAAGTGTCTTTAATGTGCTTGGAAAATGCTCATTGAGTAAATAAATGGTATGGTTTAAGAGCTCTAGCTCTTAAAAGATTCCCCAAACTAAGCTACTTAATTATGGGCCAATGGAAATTGTCCTGGTATCCAGCACAAATTCTTATTTTTTTACCTTTCACAGAAAAAAAAAAATTACAGATTTGTTTCAGATGAAACAAGTTCTTTCCTCATCCCCATCCTGGTTTTCATAGAAAACTGAAACACTGGCTGTTTTTTCATCCTCAGTGCATACATTTGGGGCACGGGCCCCAATTCTTATTGGATTATGCTGCAACAAAACTCTTACATTTTTGGTAAAACAGTAAGTTCTTCTGACATCTGATATTTTTACAAAGCTGTATAGATCTCTTCTGATATTTATTGAAAAAAAGTTTGAAGGATCTGCTGCAAAAATGGAACCTCAAAGTCCATGGGAAAACATTGCAGTTCATTCTGTGTTGTAACTTAAAGAAAATCAGAATTTTTGAGAAGGACAATTAAATTGGGTGTAACTATTTTTTATTTTTAAAAACAAACAAACAAGCAAACGAAAACTTTAAATGTATGACTTGTATACATATGCAATGGGAAAAAAAAAGTGAAATGAACCATAAAGAAAAACAAAACTTATAAAAATATGACTTGCTATGTTTGTTTTTAAAAAGATAGCAGAAATCCAACTAATTTGAATGGGAAATAGGATTGATTTTATGATGACTGGCTTTCAGTGCATCTTCTCAATTGTAAATATCATAATTTTATACCATTAAGGGTGGGAAGTTATTTTGGGCATTGGCAACACGCATGCTGGCATAAAGACTTGATACCAGCTTTCTCAGAATCTTTCCTACCTCGAGTCTGCGTGGGGAACAAGAACAAGCTTAGAAAGCAGAGAGTCTTCCCCGCTGCTGCGGGGTTGGGTGGTGTTTTGGTAGCACCATGTGCACTCAGGTCTTTTGGAGGATCAGTGATCTGTCTGCTGTGCACACTGGGTCTTTCTGGGACCAGAGATTTCATAGGGGGAAACACTTTTGAGCAGTTCTGTACATTGCCCTCATATTTCTGCAGCCAAGATGTGTCTGGACTTACCTACCCTACAGCTACCTTGGTAGGCATGCAGCCATGTTCTACCTCAGTTTCCTGCCACAGTCACCATCCCTCTCTCTTGGCTCCTGGGTGCATCTTGCAGCTTGAGCACTGGGTGACATGGGAAGATGGTGATATTTATGTTGCATTTGTTGGTTTTATTTTCAGAGCCTGGTTTGCAAGCCACTCTCCCGAATTAATATGCAAGGCTTGCTGGAGCTGGGGATACACAACGCCTGCCCAGAGGAGTGCTGGGAGGAGCGTGGCTTGATCTCCCTCTTGTGGAAAATTATTGGAACTATATTCTCGTGATACTGAGGAAAGAAAAGTCCAGCATCCATCAGGGAACAAAGGATGGCAGCAGTTACCATGCCACCTGATGCTCTTGTCAGCCCTCAAGGAAATGAAGAGATGGACTCTCTAATTGTACTGCATTATAATTACACAGGGAAGCTTATTTCAAGGGAAAAGGCAACTGGTAATATAGACCTGCCCGCTATTGCATTTCTAATCCTATGTAGTTTCATAGTCCTGGAAAACTTGATGGTGTTGATTGCCATATGGAAAAACAATAAATTTCACAACCGCATGTACTTTTTTATTGGCAATCTAGCTCTCTGTGATCTTTTAGCTGGGATTGTTTACAAAGTAAACATTCTTATGTCTGGGAAGAAGACTCTGAGCTTATCCTCCACAATCTGGTTCATTAGAGAAGGCAGCATGTTTGTTGCCCTGGGAGCCTCCACTTTCAGCTTGCTAGCCATAGCTATTGAGCGACATTTAACCATGATTAAAATGAGGCCTTACGACGCAAATAAAAAATACAGGGTGTTCCTTCTCATTGGTACATGCTGGCTTATTTCAATTTCCTTGGGTGCCTTACCCATCCTCGGCTGGAACTGTATAAACAACTTACCAGATTGCTCGACAATTTTGCCTCTGTACTCCAAGAAGTATGTTGTGTTCTGCATTAGCATCTTCATAGCCATTTTGGTTGCCATTGTCATCCTTTATGCCCGTATCTACATACTGGTTAAGTCCAGCAGTCGCAATGTCACCAACCACAATAACTCGGAGCGCTCCATGGCGCTCCTTAGGACTGTCGTGATCGTCGTTAGTGTCTTCATTGCCTGTTGGTCTCCACTCTTCATCCTGTTCCTCATCGATGTGGCCTGCAGAGTCAAGGAGTGCTCTATCTTGTACAAAGCCAACTGGTTTATTGCTCTGGCGGTCATCAACTCTGCAATGAACCCAATCATTTATACCCTGGCCAGTAAGGAAATGCGTCGCGCCTTCTTTCGCCTTGTTTGTGGCTGCCTGGTGAAATCCAAGGTGGCCAGATCTTTGCCTATTCAGCCCACACCAGATCACAGTCGAAGCAAATCCAGCAGCAGCAACACCCAGAAGCCAAAGGAAGATTTCCCACCAATGAATGTCCCCTCGTGTATCACTGAGAAAAATGAATCTCCGTTTCACAACGGGAACTTCTGTAAGTAAAGGACTCCTCAAGACAAGTACTTTTCCATGGCTTTTAGATTTAAACTACACATGAAGTTTAAATATTCATGCACTTAAATCACAGAGGAAAACACTAACCACTTATTTAACTTTGAGGACTTATTTATCAACAATCATGTGTTTTGGGTGTTCATTCAGTAACACACCTGATTCAGAAAAAACCTTTCATGCTGCCCAACAGCCAGGACAGAGTCCATGTACATCTAAGGACATCACACACCACAATGGCATTGCATGCTGAGACTGTATTTGGCACTTACTCATTTTGGAAGACATCACTAAAACCTGTTAGAAACTTTAGATTTACTAAAGACTGCTGATGGTTGGAAAATGAACCCGATTATTGTCAGCTGGGAGAAGAGTTCATTACATATGTTGTAATGTTGACTGTAGTTCTCTATATGTATCTTGCTGTTATGTTAATGGCCTTATATATATGTGGTATAAATAGCTGTATATTTGTACAATTTCTTACTAAAAATTCATTGTTTGGTAAAAGTTTACAATATGCTAAACATTGTATTGCAGTATACAGTGTAAGTTGACTAATTATACAAATAGATGTGTTTCAATGGGGATATTTAAAATGAAGTAGTAACTTTTAACTGTCAGTAACTTTAACGTGTCATATCAATGCAGTATTTTTATTTTTTTTCCATTGTTATTCAAACTTTTCGTGTTTAGTGAGAGATAGTATGGCAGTTGTCACTGTGGCATTTCACAACGCATTTTAAGCAAGCAGTAGTAAATAACCATTGTGAGAGGATATATATGTTTGCTATTTAAAGTAGTTAAAATGTGACCCCACAATACACACGTAACAAATGTTTATTCACGTACTGTTTCAATGCATATAATTTTGCTTACTATTTTCGATGTATTTAAAAGTTTGTGTCCGACCTACGTAAACCTGTGTACATTGTGAATGCACTACCTAAGCTGAGATCCTTCAGTTCTGAAACAGAGACATATCATTTCAGAAAGCAATGAACCACAGTGGCTTCCCATGGAGTTCCTTCTTTCCAGGCACTACCACAGCATGGGATTGTGTTGGGAATTCTCCCTGGGAAGTTCAGCAAGTGAGACAATATCCCATTTTCTGTTAATGGGACCCTGCACTTCTATCACCTCTGGACACTTTTGCAGATACGAGAGAAAAGATGCGGTACAACAGGATCATGCCGAAGGGTATATCTCCATTTATACCTGACCCTGCCTTGGATCTGGAAGGAAAGCTTGTTTAGTTTGGAAGACCTGGAGCCCCAGCCCCAACCTTTTGAGAGGCTGTTCCAGAGAAACCTGAAAACAACTTTATGGTTCGTCACTGCCTTACCAGCCTCAGTACAGAATGGTGGTCAGTGTCAAAGGCGTTCCCTGAGACCTAGAGTGGTTAAGACTTCATGAACATCTTGTTTCAAGTCCTCATGGAAGCAGCCCGTGGCACTTCCATCGATAGTACTTTACAGCTGGAGGCTTCAGTGAAGTTCAGCAGGAAATTCTGAGGCAAGTTCCCGCTGTCTTTCAGTAAGAATGAAACTATCTAACTTTGTTGGGCTCTTTCAAAGATTTGTGTTTAAGGTCTCAAAACACGCCTTGTCTTGTGCACAATCAGAAGTAATTGAGGCTTTTTTAACACACAGCCTGAAAGAGCTCATCCTTAGCTTTAATCTGGTCTTAATCATTTAAAGCAGCAGCATTAGACTCTTCCCAAATATGCATAGTGTATAAGCTGTGTAATGTGTGTAGCAAAAGCCTTTAAAATGTAGAGGTTTGCATTGTGATTATCTTTTACAAATTAACAGTCTGCTTGTAAATATTTTATGCTGTTAGAAAAGTGTGTAAGAACAAAGAACTCTATTTGAATGAAATAACTGTGAAAGAGAGTAGTAAATAGAAAATAATTTCTACCAAAAATATTGAAAAGCAGTGCACTTCAAGAAGAACAAAAAGCTAAACCAAGCAAAGCATGATATAACTATATGGACTGCATGATATAACTATATAACTACAGGCTGCAGGCTCTGTAACTTTGTGAGAAACAAGCTAGTGACATTGCATTGCCATGGCTTGCTTAGGTCTTACACTGCTTTTTGGCTGCATTGTAGAAGTTCTTCTCTGAGGCTGTGTCTTCAAAAACTGCCAGCTAAGATATTTGTATACTTCTAGCTTAGTTCATGTGGTGGTGGCATTTGGCAACATTCCTTGCTATTGTACAACAGACAGGCCTTAGGAACACAATAGTTTGAGAAAACGTGGTGGCTGAGCCCACACCAACCCTCATGTCAATGATGCTACATGATTTCCTTAACCTTCTGTCTATCTGCTGGTGACACTTCCTGAGCCAGCCTAAACTGGGCATTTTCCTCCATGTGGTTGCACCGTTCAGATAAACATCACATAGTTCTCAGCCAGCAACAGCTCTGAAGTGCCAATTACATACTTAAATAGATTGTCCATCAGGTATCTGTAGTTAGGCTGGCTGCTTTCAGGCATAAAGCAAACAGCAAACACAACAATGGCATTTAACCCATCACTATGACAAGCCCCATGACTGATAACTTTTTTATAGGGTTCAATTGCCTTCATGTCCACCCCATGGTCCTGTGCCGCGGTCTGAAAGGGGAGGATAGGGCCGTGGCACCGCATGGGTCCAGGACACAAAGGTGGGATGTAGGTAGAGTCCTTTACTCACACGTGCACCCGGTCCTTTATCAGCTCGGGAGGGGAAAGGGCCAGAACATAGGGTGGAGCATGAGACAGACAAGCGGGGGGACAAACCAGGATAGGGACACAGGCAAAAAGGGGAGGAGCGGGGGAAGCAGGGAGCAGGCAAACTCATGGCAAGCCTGGGCATGTCCAGGCTGTGCAGTGTGTAGTGGGAATACAATGAAACCACATAATAACAGTAAAGTCCATATAATAAAATCCTGTCAATTGCTGTATGTTTTTCTCCACACCTGGAACTGTTCCCATCGCAGTCCTGCTCTCCGATCCTGTGTCCAGTTCTTGGCCAGTTCTGGGCCAGTTCTTGTGCTCAGTTCTGGGCCCCTCAGTTCAGGAAGGATATTGAGGGGCTGGAGCAGGTCCAGAGAAGAGCAGCAAAGCTGGTAAAGGGACTTGAGGACAAGTACTATCAGGAGAGGCTGAGGGAGCTGAGGTTGTTCAGCCCAGAGAAGAGGAGGCTCAGGGGAGACCTCCTCACTCTCTGCAACTCCCTGACAGGAGGGGGGAGCCGGGGGGAGGTTGGTCTCTTCTTCCAGGCAACAATCAGCAAGACAAGAGGGCATGGTCTTAAGCTGGGCCAGGGGAGGGTTAGGCTGGATATTAGGAAGAAATTCTTTACAGAGAGGGTGATCAGACGTTGGAATGGGCTGCCCAGGGAAGTGGTGGATTCTCCATCCCTGGCCAGTCTTCGCGAGCCAAGATTTGGGAAAGGTCATTAACCCTTCGAGCCTGCGCAGTGGATTTTTTAGGTGAGACCCAGCGTGCGCTGAACTGAGCCCACCCTTTAATCCTGAGGTTCATCTGCCGGGGCCGAGCGAGCTTGGACAGTGGCAGTGAGGGTCTCAGGACGTAGGTTTGTTTAGAGTGACCTTCTCTTAGATGGATTGCCTCACAGGGCTAACGAGCTCCATCTGCCCAGGGGGCTGGGAATCGAACCCGGGTCACAGCGGTGAGAGTCCTGCACCCTAACCACTAGACCACCAGGGGCCCCCCATCCCTGGAGGTATTTAAGATAAGACTGGATGTGGCATCAGTGCCACGGTGTGGGAACCACGGCGGGGTTGGATCAAGGGTTGGACTCGATGATCTTAGACATCCCTTCCAACCCAGCTGATTCTGTGATTCTATGATTCTTGCTATTTAGATGGGGAAAAAAAAAAAAAAAGGAATGTTTTTTAATAGCCATAGTCCAAGAAAATACACATAAAAGTGAGCTTTAACATCTCCATTTTAGCCTTAGCTATTGTCAGTGTTGGTGCAAGGTACAGGTAATGCAGGCAACTCCACTGTTGGAGGCAATGTGATTGCATGTCCATACAAAAACCTTTAATTCTACTTTGATTTCCTTTTCTTATTTTGGAGCTGTGGGGATATTTTGTTAGTTCAATTCCCTGCTGTACTTAAAGCAGGTTTCCAAGATTCATGGGTTCACTTATAACACTGATAATATGATTTACAAAATACCTAGGACTGAAGAGAAAAAAACCCTATTGTTGATGCAATCTTCAGTGGGCACATTCCACTGGGAAGTATTAGATAAGGCATAGATCGTGGAAGATTTCAGAACAGAATTTTAAATTAGGACAAGTCAAGAGCTTAACAGCAGTGGATGTTAAACAACCAAGAAGATGATGTATTCTTGAAGCTGTGAAAAGATGGAGAATATTTTCTTTAATCCTAAAATATTAGAAAATTCCTTCAAACACACCCCAGAATCCAAGCTTGTTACCATCTAGGCTGATTTGAGCATACAGGAAACTTAATAAGGTCTCCCTTTCCAATTGGTTTTAAGTGGAGCAAAGGCTACAAAGGACACAACCTTTCATTCATATTATTTCATGAATTGGAATGTTTATTTTTGCTCTGAATTACAAAATAAATGCTAATTCAGCCACCTATGGAGAAAATAAAGGTTTTCACAAGCTGCTTTCCAGGAGTCTTTTATTGTCAACAGTCTTCTAGAGTATTTGCAACTGACTAGGTACCATAAACATTTTGAAAACTTTTAATAAAAAAACTCAAACCTTTGAGCCAAAGTTGCCATGTAGCACACATTTTTCAAAAAATTGAAAAGAGATTTGGGCCTTCTGTGGAAAACATGTGTTTAAAAGCTGGGTGTTGAGCCTGAAGGCAGTACCCCAAAGGCAGAAGGCCAGCTTGGCTGAAAGAGGTCTCTTGAAAATAAGACAAAAAAGGAAGGTGTATGCCCGGAGGTCTAATGACATGGGAAGAACTCAGGGATGCTTCTTGCTGCTGTAGGGGGAAAATCCGTGTGGCCGGGGCTCCACTGGACAAATGTGGGGCACAATAGAAAGAGTTTTTCTCAAATATATTAGTGGAAGTGTAGAAATAAAAGCTTGTTACAGGATGGGGTTGGTCACCAAGGACAGAGACTAGGCAAGAGGGGTTAAGGCTTTCTTTGCCTTTGTCTTCAACACGGATGTTGGACCAAGGGGGTCCCAGTGCCCTGAGCTAGAGGACCATGACTGAGAGCATGATCACCTCTCAGCTGACCCCGAACTTGTGTGGGATCTGCTGCTCCAGCTGGATCCCTACAAATCTATGGGGCCTGATAGGATTTATCCCAGAATCCTCAAAGGGTTGGCTGATTTAGTCACAAAGGCTCTCTTGATGATTTTTGAGTGGTCTTGGGAATCCAGAGAGGTCTCAGCTGACTGGAAGCTGGCAAACATTGTCCCAACTTTCAAAAAGGGTAAGCAGGAGGACCCCAGAAACTACAGGGCTGTCAGTCTCACTTCAGTGCCCAATAAAACTATGGAGAAGATTATTCTGGGAAGTATTGCAAAACACGTGGAGGGCAGCGCTGTCACTGGTCACAGCCAGCACAGCTTCTTGAGGGGAAAGTCCTGCTTATCCAGCCTGATCTCCTTTTATGACAAGGTAAGCAACCTAGTTGGCCAAGGGAAGCCAGTTGATGTGATCTTTTTGGATTTCAGTAAAGCTTCCAATACTGTCTCTCACGGGATCCCTCTGTTCAAAATGCCAAGCACACAGCTGGATAACCAGGTTTACACAACGAGTGAGCAACTGGCTCACGGATCAGGCACAAAGAGTTACACTGAATGGGGTGACATCAGACTGGTGACCTGTCACTAGTGGGGTTCTGCTGGGCTCCATCCTTGGCTCAGTTTTCTGAACATCTTAATTAGTGACTTGGACTCGGCACTTGAGGGAATACCAAGTAAGTTTAATGATACTAAATTGGGAGGACTCCCTTGAGGGCAGAGAGGCCCTGTGGAGAGACCTCAACAAATAAAAGAAATGGGCAATCACCAACCATGTGACGTTTAACAAGGGCAAGTGCTGGATTCTGCACCTGGGACTGGGCAACTCTGATTGTGTGCATAGACAGGGATTGAGAGGCTGGAGAGTAGCACTGCAGAAAGGGACCTGGGGGTCCTGGTTGATGGCAAGTTGAATCTGAGCCAGCAGTGCCCTGGCAGCCAGGAGGGCCAACCCTGTCCTGGGGGGCATCAGACAAAGCATTGCCAGCCGGTGGAGGGAGGGAATTGTCCTGCTCTGCTCTGACCTGGAGCGGCCTCACCTTGAATATTGTGTGCAGTTTGGGCACTGCAATATAAGAAAGATATTGCATTCAATTTAGAAAAGAGGAGACTGAGGGGAGACCTCATTGTGTCCTTCAACATCCTCACAAGGGGGAGCTGAGGGGCAGGTACAGATCTCTTCACTCTTGTGACCGGCGACAGGACTCAAGGAAGTGGCGTGAAGCTGAGTCAGGGGAGGTTTAGGTTGGACATCAGCAAAAAGTTTTTCACCCAGAGGGTGGTTCAGCACTGAACAGGATCCCTGGGAGGCAGTCACAGCACCAAGCCTGACAGAGCTCAAGAGGTGTTTAGACAACACCTCCAGACACATGGTGTGATTCTCGAGGTGTCCTGCGCAGGGCCAGGAGTTGGACTCCATGATCCTCCTGGATCCCTTTGGAATATTCTCAGAATATTCTATGATTCTACCCGTGAGAATGCTGTGCAGCTGAAGGTGATGGGCTCTGCCTCCACCATCCCCAGGTTGGTGGAAGGCTTTGCCCCTGCTTTCTGGAAGAAGGCTGGGTCCCTTGGCCCACCTGCTTGGAGGGTTGCCTGCTCCAGCTGCACCACCATGGCTGCTCCCTGGAAAGGCACATTTTGCCAGGATCAGCCATAATGAGGGTGTCATGCTGCCTGCAAGGCTTGCTGTTTCCAACTGCTCTAGTAAGGAAACAGAAAACACACCTGTGCATAAAGTACCAGGTACCAAAAAGCCAGGGTCCTGAAAATGGGCATCTCTGCTGCCGATGAGCAGAGATGTGCTGGTGTCCCCCTGCGGGTGCCATTTCACTCCCTGGCACAGCTAAGGACACTCCTAGCAGAAGGTGGGGAACCCAGGCCACGCTGGGCCTGGAGACACTCCCTTCTTATGGCCAAACTCATGGGGGGCAGGCACAGCAGCAGTGACTGGGGGGTTCTGTTTGCTGCTACCCTGAGACCCCCCAGCATAAATGGGCTGGAGGCACCGTGCAGAGGCACACAGGGCCAGGCAGGTACCCCTGCTCCCTTCAGAGCTGCATTTCTTCTGTCTGGGAGCAGCATAATTTCCTACGGCATCCCCAGGCTCAGCTTTTCTCCAAAAGGGCAGGAAGGAAGGAAGGGCCTTTGCCCGGAGACATTTGGTTGCTTGAGGAAGAGGATTTGGGGAACACCAGCCCAGCTAAGCTTCCTGCTGACATGGAGCCATTCTCCTCTCCACAAATACACTAAGTGGCTGCTCTTGTATGGACCTTGTCCTTGCAGTCACTCTCCACAGAAAGACCATGGAGTAGGCTACCCTTGTCTGTCCTCACCTGTTCAGCGTGCCAAGCAGGAAAACTACCCTTTCAGGAGACTGGCTCAGAAAGAGGGCCTGTGGGAACGATTCCTTGCATCATGAAAATGGCATTTGTCAAAAAGAAACCCATGGAACTTTGCCTCTGCCAAAGTAAGTGGTGCTCTTGTGATATAAGGTCACTGTAACTAGAGTCCAAGTCCTCATGTGTCGTTTGGTCCTCTGACATTTTTCACCCCTGATTCTACTGGGCTGAGCAAGTCATTGACTTATTAATATTCAGTATCTCGGTAAGCCTTGCAGAATGGCACATATTCTGCTACAAAATGGGCCTCTCTTCAGGTTAATTAAAAACAAAAAGAAAAACCCAAACCCAACAACCGAGGCCATTAGGGAACCCAGGCATAGGAGAACAGACTCAAGCCCACTTCACATGCTTTTCAATCTAATAGTGGTGCTCACTGTTTTATTACTTTGGTTAAACATATACAAACTGAATAGTCAGAAAACAGTTGCATGACACTTACATTCCAAACTATGTTGCTCAAGGACTTCCTCAGAGACGAAATTTGCCTCTAGAGCCAGAATACCACAATCAGCAGACAGGCAAAAACTTGAGATTCACAAAAATGGTTGGGAATATAAATTATCACAATATTTCCACATACATTATTTTTTATGCAACTCTCATTTAAAAATGTTTCTAAAAATAATAAATATTAATAAATGATGATTGTACAGTAAAAGTCCCTTTTACAGCAAAATAGTCACTTCTTGTTGTTGCTGCCTACACAATGCAAAGAAAAACATTTACCTCAAAAGAAGAAACCTGGCTTCTTTCAAGGTTTAACTCTGCAGGACTTTACTGAGAAGCAGTTATCACACCAATCCAGACACAAAGGACACAAATATATACCAATCTTTACATTCTTCACTTATTAGAAAATTTCACTTATTTTGAATTAAAGTATGCCTGGGTGTGTTTGGTGGTTTTTTTGCCTCACAGAACAAAAAGGAGAACTGCTGAAAAAAAATCCTTCATTTGACCTGGACTTTATTTGATCTTCATGATCTTAATCTCAAAATCTGAGGCTACCTTTCTCTTCTGAGTCATCTGCACTGTCTCTTACACAGTGGGGTAGCAGAATGAGTCACCCAGTTTTAGGTTCTTTCTAGCTTTGGTTTCCACAACCCGTTTTGTGGCCGTACAAGGTTTAAACAGTCTTTATATGGTGCTTTTGCTAGAAATGTATAGCTCTGAAATCTTATTCCCCTTACTGAGACAAAAACAAGCAGCCCTGCTTTTTCTCAGTGGAAGCCACACAAGATGCTTACACTGGAGTATGCAGAGGTGCAGATCAGGGCTTATGAACATAAATGTCTCAGTAAGAGATGAGCAGTAGGCATTGCATCCCCAGAGGTTCTGCTTTAACCCCATCAACCAATTAGCATGTTTATAATTTGGCAACTCTATTCTCGTTAGTAACTTTCATGCCTATTGGCTCATGTTTCCAGGCTTCACATTTCTTATCCCTGAAGGTTTCTCTCCCAGCACGGCTCCTCGCTCTCTATCCAAGGCTCTGGTTAACTGCTGGCAAACTGTGTATCCATGTTGTCTTTTCCACAGGCCTGTCCTCGTTCCAGCTGCATCCAATGCAGATATGATCAAGGTCCACAGACACTGTGGCTGAGTGAAGGGAGTAAGTACAGCTGATCACAGAGCTTTTAGTGGGAATTTGCCCATATCCTGACAGCTTTGAACAAGCACAGACTTGTGAAAAGAGTGCAAACCTCGGTTTGGGCAAAAAGACAATGTAAATCAAGATGTTTTTGACAGTACGTTGAGGTAAATCTGAATTTGGACTTTACACAGATATATTTTGAAACTGTCTGGAAGATAAAAAGGGAAGTATGTCTGTTATTTCAGTTTAGACTTTATTTATGCAAATATGGTTTGCTTAATATAAGTTCTTGTTTCTACCACTTACTTCAGATAGACATTGAAAGATAAGAACAAAATCTTGAAAGCAGGATTTTTAAGCTTTTGTCAGAATATTCACAAGTTCCAAATATCCCCCTTAGAGCTGCAAATTTCCTAGAAGCTGCAAAACTCTGCTAGTTTTCAAATGGAACATTTGCTACTTACAGAAATCTAAATATGCATCAACTCTATTATTAATACATTGTAGCTGGCATCTGGCACTTGATGTGCCAGCAGCAATCACACTCTGGCATAATTTTTTTAAAAATTCATGTCATCTTGTTGCATGTGATGCCTGAGGACTATGATGACAAGAAATGTGAGCATATTATTCCACAGAGGTAAAAAAAGAATGAACTCAGGATACAGAAAATTTAGTCCTGGCAGGTGATGTTTGCCAGAATGTTAAACATTTTCTTACAGTGACAGTGCACATTTTGCACACAAGAATTGGTCCCAGGACTACGTCCTTTGTTAGAGCTTTTACTGAACATGTCTGGCACAGAGGTTTCTGGCAGAACCAGTGTGAATTGTAGGATGTGGAGTGGAGTGAAGCTACCGTATAACCTTCTATCCTCACCATGGGTGCAAAGCCCTGGGCAGGGAGGCAGGCATTAAGCCATGGAAATTGCATCTCCTCATATGGTCACCAGCCAGGCATGGGCGATTTGAACATTCTCTTCTTGCATTAGGGAAGGGAAGCTGGGAGTCCTCACCCTGAGCAAACTCCCATTTGTCAGAAGGTAATTCACTTTTCAAATCACATTTTCTACCTTTGAGGTTTCATTGCTTCTATGAAGAATCTGAAATAATTGAAAGTTTGAGAATGTGATTGTACCTAGATGTCCAGTCTATCACTGCCAGCATCACTGGAAAATTTTATTATCTTGATAATTGCTCTAGATCTGCAATAAAAGTATGTGGAATAATTTGGTTCACTTCTAAAAGTTCTTTCTTTAAAGGAATTGAGTGTGTTTTCATTGCCAATAGTTTCTATAATTGCAAAACAACTGGAAGCAAACCTCATAATTAGAAAGGGCTCAAAAGCAATGTAAACAGTCTTGCAGGATATTTAGTTTCAGTTCTGACTTCTCAGCTATTCCCTGGGAAAATCTCAAAGGATACTACAATACTGCCTAATCTCAGTGATTTCTACTGAATCTAGAAAATCTTTTCTTTCAGTAAAATCTCACTTCTTGAAGTCATGGCACTGAATTACCACCAACAAGAGCATAGCCCTTGAGACTGCATAAAAGAGAATAACAACAAAAGGTGGAGGGACTCCAAATCAAAGGCAAACTTTAAAAGGCTCACATTATTATGCTGTTGTTTGGTTGGTTTTCAGCCAATCACACAGTGTTTGAGCCTCTCTCATAATTTCCACATCTCTTAAATTGCTGTCAGTGTTGGTTCCTCACAGAAATGAGCCCAGCTGTTCTAGCAGGTTCAATAACCACTTGCTGAGTTCAGTTTAAAATGGACTTTGACTCTAATAATAACAGGTTTGGAACTGCCATCCAAATGGCCATACAGTTTTTATATCACTTTCATGAAGGGGGAAGCAGAATCTACCAGAGTGACAGACAGAAAGCCATGGCAGGATCCGCAAACAGAGCATTGACTGGCACACGTGCCCTTCCTTCCTGGGCAGTTGTGAGATCATTTGGTTCCCAAATGACTTAGAAAAGCCTCTGGATCCTTCCCAGATCCTTCTGGATCCTGGCCAGACAGGATCTGCTGGCCCACTGCATCAGCAGGGCACTGTCACAGCCCAATGGCTCTATTGCTATCCAGGACCAAACTGCGTCTCATCAAGGTATATGCAGCCTTTGCATAACCAGTGCACATGCTGAGCTGTGCAAGTTGGCTGTGCTGACAGAGCAGCTTAAAATAGCCACATTTCCCTGGAGGCAGAGTCTGTGATATGTAGTCTGGGAAATTTAGTATTTCTGTCAAGCTGGTTCATTTTGTGTCTCGTTGCCGCCTGCTTTAATTTCCAAAGCATCCAGCTAAGTGGGTGCTAAGTTATTAAAGCTACAGCTAGGACAATGGTAAAAAAATTTAGATGTTTATTTCAGTGTATGTTCAGTGCCTTCAATTCATACACCCAAATCTTGTCACGTTTTTCCAGAATACTTAGGAATCCAGAAATGACATAGGCAGCAGGTGGGCATTTTGAAGACACCCAAGGGGGTTATGCACCAAACTCTTACTGAAATTATATGAAATATTCAAAAGAACAAAAGACACCTTCTCTTACAGATAGTGATCTCACACTGAAAACTTTCCACAACCTGGCTACAGGAAGGTTGGAACATGGAATAATAAGTGTTATTTAAGAAAAAAAAAGTGGCAACTGAGATACATCAAAATGGAATATGGTGAGACACGGAAACTCAAATAAAGTAATTTTGGTGAACAATACTTTGGGATAAAAGATCTGTTCACATATTACGATATCCAATGTAGTAAAACCAGATTTTAAGAGTTCCTGTAAATTTAATGCCATACTGATTTGGGTTACAATGCAGCATTTAATTTCTCTCCTTTGCTCTCAGCTTCCATCCAGACCAAGAAATATCAAATAAAAACTATCCATAGTAAAATTAATCACTAGCATTTTGTTTGCTAATGTCTTAGTTTGGCTTCTGGATGTCTCGATTATAGAATCAAGTGTATCTTTATGCCACAGATTACATGATTAGTCTTAGGTGCCTCAATCATTTTCAGTTTTGAGATCAACTAAAAATCAAATTCCCAAGCTGCAAATTCACCACATTTAAAAGGAGATGATACAAGAAAATTATTTCAGAATTTTAACATCATGGTCCTCCCTGAATGTATTCCAAGTAAATCATTCAGTCGGTTTTGTTACGTCTTGACAAACTTTTAAACTTAGCAAATTCTTAGAACCAAATCTAACTTTAAGTAGATTTAAGTGTTGACTACTGCAGGGTAGGCAGATGCTTAACCTTGACTCTACCCTGCCGAGTCTTTATGAATCAAGTCTGAAGATTTGATTTGAGAGACTGGTGCTAGAGAAGACCTCGGATTGCTGAAGGCTAAATCTTGACTCTGGCACAAGTTTTGTCTTTACAGGAACTGTGTCTATTGAATTTGACTCGTAATAAGATTCCTAAAATGGGAAAATAACTTCATATAATGTTTAAATGTGAATAGTACAATCATCCCTTAAAGCATTTCCCAGTACCAAAAGTCGAGGTCATTTCTGCCAGAAATGCGTCTTTAGTATATGTGTATTTTTTGAACTTGATGTTTAGAGAAAAACAGTGTATTTGCAATAACTATCACTTGCTGAAGGCCAAGATGAAGTTACGCTTTGGTAGGTAAGTGCAAGTGGCAAAATTTTTGCAAAACTGACCACTGAGTTGGGATAGTTTTCACCATCCATAAGAAGAAAAGGTTTTTCAGATATGTCTTTGAACAATCATGTATATCTTGGATTAAGCCTATTACACACAAGTTATTTGAACTTGTCTACTCAGTATGCAACATCTCATTCAAGACTGTTAGTCAAGGACACCTAGATCTTCACCATAAGCAGAGAACTACTTATAAATAACCTTTTAACACTGAAATTAATAAATTACAATATATTGTCACAATATCATCAGAAAAATCAAAGCACACACCTCATACACAGAGAGATCACACCAAATCATTGTTAAAGTAAGATACAAATGTTTCGAGTATCACCATATAAGAATTCAAACTTGACATCAGAAAGATAAAATCCTTTTGACATCAATGACATAAGTGGATAATGCTTTCAAAAATATTTTATGCTAAATTTCTGAGTTGGAATAGTAGATGCTGAATTCAGGCTCCTACCATGGTTAATTAGCATAATCCACCTGTAATCCCCATAGTTGTGCTTCTTAGGTAAAATCAGAAATAAGATTCCTAATATTAAATTTCTCAAGAAATTGAGACTGCTGAATTCTACTTTTTATCTGAACAATCACAATTGTCATTTTTCTTTTGGTAAAAACACATGGCACAGAAGATAGTTCTATACTGTCAATAGACTGACTCAAAAAATATAAATATATACTGTATTTATATATATGGTATGTATATATACATTATCAACAGTCACATTAGAGAATCTGAACAATTTTATTGAAATTACTTTTAAGAAAGCTTTCTGCTGTGATTTCATGTCTACACAAAGAACTGAGAATTTTCAAGTGTACCATATGAAATGGGGCTTCTTAAACATAAAGAAAACATACTGGTGAAGTATATGTGACTATGCATTTTTTTTAATGTACATGTTTGGTTTTTTTAAGATCTGCAATTTCTACCAGTTATAGCTTGCGAGTTACAAAAACTAAAAGAGATCTGGAGTCAGTGTTTCCTTTCAGCAGGCTGTTGCAGGCAGAGTTCACTCACTGAAGAAACTATTGGCAAATTATTCTCAAGATGATAGTTGATGAGATGACTTATGCTGTCAAAGACACGATCTTTTGTACGAACCTTCAAAAAAAGGATGCAAGAATATAGATTAAAGAGTAAAGTACTTTCCCTCTTAACTTCACACTAAAATTGCCTAAGAACAAAATGACACAATCATGTTTTAGAGACTGATTCCTTTCCCATCAAAATTGGCGGAAATTTGGCACTTATCCATCTTGGCTTCTGTTTTATCTGTTACTCTCTCTATTCTCACCAAACAAGCATTTTGCATGCAACCCCAAGGTCCAGCCTACTCCTTCTGATTAGGTCTGCTTGTAAACTTTCTGTACAACATTTTGTTTCACTGTAGATCAGAATTTTAGACCAACTTCTCTTCTTCAAGAGACTACCTTCTTCTTTTTAGGTGTTTGCACCTTTTTCATCAGAAAGAGCTGTCCCTCTGGATATGTCGGAACCCAGCTTCTCTGTGCACCTCAGCATTTTTGTGCTTTTCTTAACAAAGACCTTCTTCTTCAGGTACTTGGAAATCTCCTTCCCCAAAAGTGACCTAGCCACCATATGTGCTTAGCTTGTGTTTGCCCCATGCTGCACATCCCTGTGGCTTTGGTACTGAAACACTTCAGGGCAGGGAGCGTCACTTTTCTAGCCCACTTACCAGCCCTCTGTTCTAGAGTCTATTTATTTAACCACACCTTCACAAAACGTTTCCTTCCTACATTTAAAATGAATTAGGTATGCAGCTTCCACAGGCAGAGCACAGGTCCACTCTGGCAAACATCATGTTGCAGTAAAGCTTTGTTTTGGGATGTCTCTACGCTGCCTCCAGAAAATGCCTGTGAGCACTGCTCTGAGCAAGGAATGTCACGCATTCTCCTTAAACTTTTCTCAGGAAGAGAGAACAACTTCTGTAAGAACCTTCCAAAGCCAGCTGATGTGTTGGGCACCTCTCTTGAAATACTTCAATCTTCAACATTAAATCCTGGCAAAATTCCTGTAAACTTCAACACAGGATGCCACAGGGTAAAAAAACTTCCTGTAAACTTCCACACAGGGTAAAAAAAAAGACACAAACAAAGAATTTTGATGGCAGATGATGCTATCTGCTCGGTCCACATGTAGTTATGTCACTGAAAGAAACCAATAGGCTCTCCTCGTTCCTGAGGCATACTGCTTTGAAAAGTAACATTCCCTAAAATCAAAGCTACGTTTTCAAAATGAAAAGGTGTCTTTAAAAAGGCAGTAACTTTCTTTATCTATATTCTGAGATTTTCTTAACACGAGTAGCCTGCCATCACCAGAGTTCCAGTCCTCAATCTAAATCCAGAAAAAAAAAAACCCTGCAGTCCTACATTTTAAGCACCTGAACGAGGGATCTCTTGTTCTTTTTTTATTTTTCTGTTAGCTGGATGAGAGCAGAGTAACTGGACAGTTAACTCTGCTCTGAAAACACACCCTTAAGAGCCGTAACTGTGTCATTGGGTAATGTGTGTGAAATGAATTTTCAGGCAGCATTTTTGTGAGTCAGTTTTTAAGAATAACCACACTGAGGCCACGCAGAAGAAATGCAAGCTGCTGGCACGGTGCTGCAGCTGGTCACACACTGGCATTTTACTGATGACTCTCCACTCCGACAAGTTGCAAACAGGGCTGCTCAGAGGCCACCTCAGGATCCCACACCTCTCAGAAAAGCTGTTGTTCTGGGATGGTGTCTCCTAGGAGAGGCATTTCAGGGCCATTTGGGCCACGATGGCACATCACAAGCAGGGGTAGATGCAGAGAACAAACAGGTCTCTAGACAAGGATGTCAGCAAATTAGAGCTGCTCTAGAGGCAGTGCAAAAGAAGATGGGAGGGTCTCCAGCCTTCACAGGAGGAAAATGCCCAGGAAGTCATCACTGGACCTGAGTACTCCATGCCAGTCAGCAGTGCAGCAGAGCTCCTGGTGGGACACTGTGTCCCTGCACTTGCCACATCACACAGCAGTACCTGTAACAGCTATTGGTGGGTTTATGTTAAAGGGAAAATTAGGGGACCTTGTTCCAGGAGCCACAAAACTGTTGGCAAACGTTCAGCAAGGGAGGCTGCCCCCCAAGAGGTGCAGAGCCACTTCCCTGGGCTGGTGTCCCCATCAAGCCCAGAACTGGGTAGTTGGCACCTCAAAAGTGCAAAACTGTTCTTTGTCTGACCTCATGTGACAAATGTGACTAATAACAAGAAGTACCATGGGCATTCCTCACCACAGCAATACAGAGTCTGCAGGACTGGTATAATTCTGCCACAGGTTTCTCAGCTGAAAGAGATGCCAACAGGCCAACTCTCACCTACTTTGGGGCTGGTTATCTAAAGTTGTCCTTTACAGAGGAAAAAGAGTTACCCACTTGCAGCTACCAGGAGCCAAGAATAAAATTCAGGACAATGATTTTAATCTCTTAGCAGAGACTAAACCTCTACAGAAGCAGGACAAGATAGCTACAGAAAACTGGAGCTCCCTTGACCTCTCCAATCCTGCTGTGGGGAGGGTCCCTTCATCAACTAAGGCAGCCTTTGTGCAGCAAAGAGATGGGTCTTGTTTGGGAATCAGGTCCCTAAGGCTCCCTGCAATCTGCAGAAATCGTGGCGTGTGTCTTCTGCTAGGCATCAGGGAGGGAATCAGAGATGGGATGGCATACTAGAGATACAAGGCAGTACTTATGAACAGTTGTGAATAAGCTGTAAAGAACATTAAACACATCTAGAGAAAACGTGCAGAGCCAGAAACCTCACGTATTAGTGAGGAGTCAGTGCTTACAGTTCCTTCTGGGTCCACCAAAAGAAGGTGCTTGGCTTGTCCATTGTGCATGCCTGTCAGCACATAGGAGCCAGGATTTGTGGTACTCTTCCTCACGAGGAAATCTCCACACTTCTTTAGCAGCTGTTCTGCTTCTTTCCTGCTCATCTCTCCTTGATACCACGGCTCTGCACTCAGCTCTTCATCTTCAGTCCGGGCAGCTGCCCTGGATGAAACAGGACTGGTGCATCCCATGGAGGTGGATTTCTTCAGCACAGCCTCAGAGGTTTGATTCCTGAGGGCATCTTCAAATGGTCCTGGTTATGGAGATAGAAGCAAGAGCAAGATCATTCAGAGGTAAACCATGTAACAACATGGTGATATTCCAGCCGTTTTAAAATGGGTTTGTTTTGGGTTGTAGCCGCATCCCTCTGCCTTTATGAAAAAAATAAGGTAAGATATACTATGAGACTTACTGCTTTATGGATTCTATTAAGACTGAGGAGTGTAACGTGTTTAAAATGTATGTTATGCACAGAAAGATACCAATAAAAATGACAGTGAACCTCTGCAGGAGCTTTTGAAAGGTACTGTTTTTATTTCAGCAGTGGCTATTGTCAACAGCTGTGTTTATATGATCTGGTACCAGGCAAAGCTCTCCTTTAGTCTTGCTAGGTATATCAGACAGTTTAATTTCAAATAAATTGCATAATATGGGTAGCTAATGTCATTATACTCATATCTGGTCTCTCTTCAAACAATTTATTCATTTAAAAATTATCCATTACTGAGTCTCCAGCCCAAGGCTATGTCTAGAAGGGAACAGCCACCCCTACCACTCAGCCCACTCCTAGCCTCCGTCTAGGAAGAGAATCCTGCAAAATAGACAAAGGTTAACACATTTAACGCCATTTACCTGGCTAAAATCAGCCTCGGGGAAACATCTTTTAAACCCCAGCTAAATCCCAAACTCAGTGCTCCTTCCTGCAGAGTGGAATGGAGAGATGTGCCATTACGGACCCCAGCAGCCTTACAGGAATAGCAAATACGTCTGTGGGTGTTTCATTACGTGCTGTACTGACCCGTTGGAAGCTATTTTCCCTCGCACAACCTTCGCCTGTTCCACTGGCGCGCACCAAAAAGCAGAGTGTTGTTCTGTGCCCACTCGACCTGCAGAAGGACATCTGCAGGGCAGCGCCGTGGGGCAACACTCCAGCTCTGAATAGACTACTCGGATGCGAGGAGTGCACAGCCATGCTTGCATGGGACCACAGAGAGGGTAATTTAGCTCAGGGAAATGGAGTAAATACCTCTCTGTCACAGCTTATTGATGTCTCAATTATTAGAAGTAGCTTATATATGTCTTCACTAAATTGCAATCTGCACTAAGCCCAATTCATGTTTAGCCTGACAAACACTAACTTAAGCTGGAACATTTTCTAATACTACTTTTCTCTGATCATCCAAGGACTGATAAAGATTAATGAAGGCTGGAGGATGATAAATCAATTTTCCCTATTTTTAGGAAAATAATGAGTATAAAATAGAAGTAAGCATGTGCATGTTTTAAGGGCATGGGACGTTAGAAATCAAAATTAACACTTCTGACTTCAGACAGCACACTTTTCTCATTTCAGATCTATATTCACAGATAGATACTCTCTCAGCTTTCTTCTCTCCCCCTTTCTTTCAATCCAAAATCCCACTAAGCTGTGGAAATAGAGTCATACCTCAACAAAAACATGCCAGGAAGACAGTTTTATGTATACTGAGATAACAGAAATGTAGATACATTATTTTACAAATAACATATAGGCACCAACTGCTTTGTCTCGCTGCCTTTTAATCACACAAACTGATTTAAATAAAACATGTGAGGAATTTATTTGAGGTAGGAAGTGTAGAAAAACAAAGAAATTTTTCTGTGCATCAAATGCTTTCCCCATTATTTCCTGTTAAGTGTCTCCCCGAGGCTGAAAACAACGTGTATTGTTAGCACCAACAACAAATTATGGCTGATGCTTAAAGCATTGTTTTGCAGCTATGGCTATAATTCTAATTTAGGAAAAGCAGACTTCAAAGTTGGAATAGATAGGATAGTAGGCCTACCCAGTGCAAGAGATAACTCAGCCTTTTAATTTCCATTCCTTGTTGCACAAAACTTTTGTTATACACCTTGACTTCCTAGTAAAATACTCACAGGACAGGCTGGAGCTAATTCTCCACCCATCCACTCCTCCACTCTCCTTCACTTCCCTGTATGACAGGGCTCCTGATTTATTTTTCTTCTGACATAGTTGCCTGTGATGTTCAGGATAACATAGACTGCAACTCACCTTAACTCATACAACACAGACCACCTTTAAATCTTCAGCCACTCTGTTTTAACTCAGTCCAATACGAAATCATCATGAATTCTAAAATTCACCAGAATTACACCAGGAATGCTAAACTTCAGAATTATTTTTTTTCTTTTGTTTAATTCAGAACTAATGCATGAACATATTGGGTCATTTGTTAAAAAGGGAGTGAATAGGAAGGGAACTCACTCATGTCAAACAGATCCTTTCCTGGGCTGCTTGCTTTGGTCTCCTCTGTTGTTCCACTGAAGGTACATTCAGCATCTGCCTGAAGTGCCAGTAGAGCTTCTACATTTATATGCTGGGTGTTTACATATGTTGGCATCTCTGCTGTCGGTATTACTTCTGATTTCTTTTCTGGCATACTAGAGATATCCAGAGATCCTAGAAAATTCAAGGCTTTATTTTCCTCTTTTTTTTTTTTTTTTTATTTGACAAAGCAGTGTTGGTATAATGACCAATTAACACCACACCACACTACTACAAGTTTAAAATTCCCTGGAATTGGAGATATAAAGTCAATAATTGCAGGATCTAGTAGAAAAAAGATGTTGATTAATGGATTCAGGGTTTCAATGAGGGTTTGGGGGCATTATTATTTAGGAGGAAAGGAAACCTTTGTAAATAAAGATGGTTTCAAAAATTATATTCAGCTGGGGAGTCATAAGAAGAGGAGAAGGAATAAAATCCTCAACTCTGCAGATTAACAACAGACAACAAATTCTGGCATTTGAAAAGAAAGTATCTCTAGAAACACAGAAAGTTGTCACATAAAGGTGGATGAGGTGAAATTTAACATGTTTTGAAGTTATCTACTTGGAATTTATAGACAACAACAAAAAACCCCATTACACATTATTTGCTATTTGTGGAACAGAGAGCATTGCTTCACATTTCAAATGAAACTTCTCACTTTAGGTCTTTCCTTAAAAAAATTCCATCTTGCATACCCTAGTAGGTCGGATTTTCAGAACAGACCATGCAGCCTGCCTTTTAATATCATGGGGTTTTAGGACATTGAAAGTTAGAAAGCTGAAGATTTGGGCAACTCTATTTATGAACTGCCCTGCAGAAGAAAATATTTCAGGAAGGTGTGCATTTAATAATTTATCCAGAAGTAATTTACAAATGCATTTCACTGGTATCAACACTAAAACTCAGATAAAGGGAACCTATCAAAAAAAGTGCAGTTCATTGCCTTAAGACTTTGAGGCATCAGACTTTCACATGCTTTGCCCACCCAAGATCACCTGAAGTATTACAGCTAAAAGCAGCAAAACTCACCTTGTGTAACAGGCCCATGATGCCATTCTTCACTGACTTTGCCTCCTGAGTGATGGCTCTGATAATAAATTTGCTCTCTTCCCACTCCTGTTGCAGACTAGAATGGACACGTGCAAGGAAATTTTCAGTTGCCTTTAAAATGCTCAGATACATTATCGGTGGCTCTGACAATTTCCTTGGCTGTATTCTGTGTACTCACACTCTTCCTTTCTGATTCATCATGGTGTCAGAATATATATATATCCCAAATACATTTGTGTAAGAGTAAGATATTACCAGTGACCTTCATGCATACTTCCCTACTTCCTGCTTTTATTAAGCCCCACAATACCGAAGGATGCATCACCTCTTTCAGTACATTTTCCTTTCACATAACAAGCCCTGACACACTGTTCCTGGGAAAAGCATTCCACAGAAACATGCCTGGGACCAGAAGACAGCCCCAGCACTCTTCAAACCACGAGCTGAAGGACCCACTTTGGTACCAGGGAAGGCACTTGGGCACTGAAGGGAGGATGTTGTCTACAGACACCTGGATTTGAGCAGAGTTGTGCTGGATCTGAAAACTCCTCTTAAGTGACTATGTTGATACTGCAGTCAAACTTTAGACAGGAGTGTTGGTAGAAATATCCAAGCTGACCTTAGTTCAACATGAGGTGGAAAACCTGCCTAGGAGTCTGGTTGAATACTGATGGCTGTCAAGTTATTAACATAATGAACTGTTCATAATGACTGCACTAGATTAAGTGATTCTGCATTAAATCATTCCCAGTTAGTGTACAGTATTTTATACTCTCTGAAGCAGACATGGTTTCCACAAATGTATTTACCCTCAGTGGGTTTCTCTTCCTAGATCCTGGTTAATCTTTTAAAACCACAAGGAACTTACCTCCTTTGTCTTGTTCTGAAGCTGCCTAACATGTTGCCCCCCTAGGTCTGCAATGCCTATCCAACAGGAAATTGTCCATACACGAAGGGCTGTGAGCTACAAAGGCTCCCAACGTAAATCACATCTTAAAATACACGTCTTTTAAAAATTTTGCATCCATCAGCAGGATGGCAGAGATGCAATTGCACTGACCTGGGCTGTGTCTGCAGCAGTGGGAAGTCTTGTTTTGAGCCTGGCATCAAGGAAGCCGCCAGGGGGAGGTATTTTATTTGGGATGTTGTTGTAATAGGGATGCTCTGTTGCCTCGTTTTCTTCCTCCGTCCACGGGTCCTCAAAACTCTGTGTCCTGTAAGGAAGCGAGTGCTTTGTTTTGCCCCTCGCTTGTAAAGCACTTAAGAGATATTTTCATCAGGTTAAGACTGCCTGTCAGGGGGTCACTATTGCGTGTTATTTGGGCAACTCAGCTACCATCATAAGTCAGGAAGCAATAATGGACCATGCAGGAGACCTTCTCTGTTTAGACACACTAATCTAAACCTCCTTTGCAATGGATAAAATTCTTTATGCTGAGTAAAGGATGTTTTTACTTAGCTTTAAAGACCATTACAAATGGAATTAAGCAATTTTATCTAATCCTACAACAGCACTTGTAATATTATGAGTTGATTGACCAACTAGGTTCTAAAGCTTTATATCTAAAGATATGCTCTGTCACCAGTACAAATCTGGAAGAACTTCACAAAGTCAAGAGACATGAATACAGCACGCTTCCAGATTAGGATAGTAGCATTTTATATTCACCATATACCTGTTTTACTTTGATATTAGAGATTGTGGAGGGTACCAGCTCACTGGAATTTATACTAGTATTAACAAGCATATAGCAATCCACGTCTCCAAAGAAAATGGAATGCTATATCCCAGGTTTTTAAACATACACAGACAGATTTTATATCCTCCAGAGAGCAATGCAGTCAAAGCCTCTGTATAATACATCACATTCCTCAAAACATCACCCTAATATGAGAAATAGTGAAACAGCACTAGTCATTTTGGAAGCCCAGCTCTCTAACTTACTCCATCTAAACTGACAGAGCTGCTATGACAGCAACAATGAGAAACACCACAAATAACACCCATTCTTGGCCATCCAACTCTGCCTACTAACAACAACAGAAAACGCATGATCGTTTCAACGTCACATGAAATCCATATTTAGCCTATTATTTTAAAATTAATGTGCCCCCTTCGTATTCGTTAGGTAAACGCTGCTACGCTAAATGAGCACAAACCTTTTTTAAAATGTTTAAATCCTGTCTGTCTCCAGCAACATCGTCCACCACACATTTCTTTATGTAAAATAGAAAGCTAAAAGAGATCCTTTAGCAGCCTTCTGGAATGGCACTCACCTATCCTGGAAAGTAGGTATCTTAGAGGGACATCGCAAATACTGCTTAAATCGAAGCTCGAATGCTTGCCCTATGGTGCTGATGACATCCTGGGCCAGGCCATCACAGCATTCCAGTATATGACAAGCTAAATGAAAAAGATTTGACACATGCACATGCAAATCATTGTTCATGTTGTGGTGGGATGCACTGAACTGTGACAAAACACCTACATGTCAAGAATAGTTGCCCTATTAGAAGTGTGCACCCTTCAATAAAAACCAATTATGATACAGTGAATTTCAGGCAACGGTGTCTTTGTAAAGGTTACATAAAATTGCACTGGTGTGTAACTGCCATGGGCAAGATCACAAATCTGTTCTGCTATTTTAACAAGTCCACAAACGCAAAGATCTCGTACAATTTCACGTTATTACCCGAATGCAATAGATTATGTAAGAATTCTAAACTTTAAGCTGAAAATAAAAAATATTAATAGATGGTAATAACAGTAAAAGGTTTCTTGGGTTTCCTCAATGTTATTACCACTTCAGTTTTATATGTAATCACCCCCAAGCTCACAAGCTGTTCACTTTTTCCAAATTACAGTCTGAGGGAGGAGCAGTATACTCAGAATACTTTCTAGACCATGGGCCCTGACCTTACTCCAGGAGTACAGATCTTGGTACCTTTTCCTGCTTCCCTGCATGGAGACACTCCCAGTAAAACTGGTGGGTCACTGAAGAGCGCAGGGGCAGGAACCTGATTAACTCCAGCCCTTCCTCATGTGCCACCTCTCCGAAGCCACTACAACAGGTGCAGTAGGGAGGGAGGCTGGCAGCACAAGCTCTCTTCCTATGGAAGACTGAGAAACCTTTATCAGCTCTCTGAGCACCCAAATCTGCCGCGGTTTTAAATCAGCAAGTGCCTCGGAGGTCTCATGTGACAACACAAAGAGGTGAATTCATGGAGAACTGACTCAACATTGCAGGAACATAGACGGGTGTTAAGAGCTGGAGGCTGAAGATCTGAATGAACAGCACTCATCATGATATGTGGAAAAGCCCAGGCAAATTAATTTTCCATATTCAGAGTTGGATGAGCACATGGTCTACTTGCTGTAGCCTGGACTGGGTTTGAAACTCTGGTTATTTTCCAAGTCCTACACATTAGAGTGGGTCCCTGTTCAAAGTTACTAATTTGTATCACCCCAGACTGCTTCAAAACCTGAATATAAACTCTTCAGCTGAAAAACTGCATTTTAGTACATGCCTAGTGTCCAGCTCAGTGGAACCAAGTGCTTTGGATGCCAATGTCCTACAAATAAGGGTTGGTCACAACATTTGTGTGACATAGTTTTAATTAACGTTACATAGCGAGACTAAGTAGGTTTAGAAATGACTTCTCAGAGGCTGATCCACTCGACAGACATCTGAAGAGGCCAAAATAAAGGACCAAGAAACCTGCAGCTGTGTAGGTATGGAGGTATGCAGGAATGCCTGCTGCCTCTTCTTCAGCAGCACCTCCCACAGCATGAGATGGCACCAGTCACAGTGCTACACAGACACAGCGGTGTTCTCTTCTCACCTTATAGCACCTGCTGTGCCGACCAGCAAGCTGAGGCAAATCCTGATTCAGGGGAAAGGCCACTAGCTGCATGTTGAAAGTGGATTCAGCAGCCAAAACCAGGACCACCACGTGTCCAAAGTTGGAGGCAGACATTCCCAACTAGCAGCAGGATATTTGCTGTTTGCACCCTCTGCACCACTGCTGGTGGCATCTCCATGAACGTGGACCAAAAGCAGTTAGGGCAAACAAAGCTAAGGTGTTTGCACTCTCTAACTAGAGTGCAGATTTAAAGAGGTTACGTTGCTCACTGCTAAACCTGTGCGGAGCTGAAATGAAGCATGAGTCATTAAGTAGTTTCAGTAGGTGACATAATGAGTAACCTGTTTCCTTGGATACGTGAATGGACTTTCAGCAGGTAGGAGATATGCTTCTTGTAAAAGGCTGAGAAGGTTTGGCTCACACAGAGATGATTTTTTGTGAATGTTACAGCAGAAAATAGACAGCCTTCAGCTTGCTAGATCCAGAATACAAAACGCGAAGACAGCTTTTCCATCCTTGGGAAGAAATGAGTCTAATATGGAAGCTATGCTACAGCATTGGTGGCAGTGTCAGCAACAGCAGCAGTAACATTTTCACTAGATGTAGAAACAGACAAATTCCATTCTAAATCGATTTGCAGATAACACAAAGAATGACACAATGGCAAGTGATGGTGACAGAGGGCAGTTCAGATCCCTTGGTAAATTAGATCCTTTTTAAAAATCTGTTTTAATGCAGGCCACATAAAAAGTCACCAATCTGCAAATCACTGATGTAGATACAGGAGTGGGGAAAGTGCCCATAGGAAATGCAGAAGGCTTAAAGATCACAACATGAAAGAGTTTCACACGAGGTAACAGTGCTTCACTGCAGCCAAAAGGGCTAATGATGAGGACAAAAGCAAGGTGCAGCCTCCACTGTACTGGCAGCCCCTGCTATAAAGGTATCATATAACTTTTTAAAACAATGCAGAAAGATCAAAGAAGGAGAAATCAGCAGAAGGATGGAGGATGTGCACTGCAGCTGGAGACCTACAGAGTTCACTGTCAACCTTTTCATAAAGAAAACTGAGAAATTACTTGACCTAAACACACCAAAGGAAGACGACAGAACGAGGTGTTCAGATGACTCCTCAATCTAGGATAGACCAGCTCAACAAGGAACAGTCACAGGAAGTTAAGGCTAAACACATCCAACATAAGATAGAAGGAACACACCATGTGAAACAGTTTTTGTCTAAAATCTACTCACACAGGAACAGAAAACAGAGGACAGGGCTCCTGCAAACCCTACAGTGCAAACATCTACAATGCCAGCCTACTACATCGTCACTGAGATCCCTCAGAACAACTGAATCAGTCTCTGATTTAGCAGAAGGGTACTGCTAAAGCAGGTGGGGTGGAGAGCAGCTCTGCACCACACATCCTACAGTCTGACACTGGAGCCTCTCTGAGGGGGGACACATGATGTTGTAACATATCATCCATTGCAAAGAACTGGACTAACTCCATACCTCCCATTCCCCGTAAGTTTTCTAGGTGTTTCACCAGTTATTTTCACACAATATTAGTGTGTTTAGTGCAAGTATTATTTATTTATGAGGTAGTGCTCTCAAGTCTGGACATCCCTGCACATGGACACAGCAGATTCTTCAGGTATCTAAAATCATTAAAGATGATAAAATGTGGAACCCACTAAATTAGTTGTGTCGATGGTAAGGTGGGCAGTTCAGGGTTTGCAGAGTTGGCTTTTTGGAGTTTTTTTGAGCTACTCTGTTCTTCTCTATGACTCTATAAATAATAAATAGATTCTCAGGTATATTACACAATACTTTGTATCTTGCATTAAGACCTAGTGATGCTTTCTGCATTACAAGCAGGAATGTCTTTTGTACCTATTATTTCAGACTGTAATTTACAATTCTTATAGTTTATTTTTTGAGAATGTGAACTGTATCTTAGATTTTGAAGACAGTCAACAAGAAGGTCCCTGTCCCTGACTGACTGCTGCTAAAGCAATGCAACCTTGAATAAAACCTCACTGAGAAAGAGAATTACAGTAAGCTGGCTGAAAGCTCACTATTTGATAAAGAACGTGATTCTGCCAGGAAGAATTAGGCATGTACTGAGAAGACCTAACAGATTCAGCTGCCTCATCAGATGACTTAATCAGAGGACTACTTAGTTCTTGCATGGTGATTGGGTGTAGGTAAGATTTAGCTGTTGCCTAGAAGCTCATGCAGCCAAGTAAAGCAAGTGTTTGATTTAAGAGATGAAGAGAATCAAAGTGATATTTGGATATGAACTAGAGGCAAGACCTGTTCCAAGTCTGAGAACCAAACTGTTGCTTCTTATTGCTACACAATCTTTTTGTGACTCTGTCAAAGGCAATCTTTTTATTGGGCTGCATTTATATTTTCTTGGAGAAAAAAAATCTGACTTAAACCATGAATAATTTGTGTTTCTCAAAGGAAAAACAGATGTCAAACAGGTATTTCTAACTTACCTCTCCGATTAACAGGATCCTTAGCTACATATGCAATATAGTCAGTTGTATCCTGTCAAAAAATTAAGATATCTACAATGAATGCAAAAAAATATTTGCACTGATCATAGCAAAAGATCACAGTCCAGAGTATGTATATTCCTGTGGGTAGAGCCTCAAATGACATGTTTTGCTCTACAGTTGTATACTACTTAAACCCCATATAAATGTTTATGGGTTTTGGTACTGATTGCACCACTTTCTCTGGAATGTGATCTATTCCAGCAGAATTTAAAAATCTCTTCTAAGGCCTTTGAGAATCAATTAAACAAACTCAGCAGGACTTGGATCAAGCCTCATTTAGGAGGGAGTAGAATTACAAGTCCTTATTTTCGAACTGCCCAGAGATTTTGGTTCAGAACATAAATAATCAACCAGTTCTGTGGCAGAAAGAGTGGGAGTAACAGCCCTGCTCCCCAGAAATACTGAGCAATGGCATTTATTTGTGTGTGAAAGCAGGTGTGTTTACTGACTACTACGCCATATGGCCCAGAGGTGGTCAGCCCCTGCTTGGCTGTGACAAGTAGAATCCCAGGACGCTCTCCCCTAGCCCGTGGGCTGCTCCTTGCCACACTTGTTGCCACATGCCAGGTGTATTTTCGGGCAAGAGTAGGCAGACATTTCCCTCAAGGATTTTTTGCTTGCTCTCCTGCCACAAGCGGCGCAGACTTGTGTCGTTGTGCAGATGGAACAGAAGGGGCAGTGTTTCTGGGAAACATTTAGGCCACACAGCCTTGATGCAATCATGAAGTCCTGGTTAGATCTGGTGTTTCCTGACATGCCTGGCTAGTCGGGTGTAGCTAAACCTGAGGGATACACAGGATACACTACAGCTGGCAGTATAACTCTATACTGATCCCAGATCATTGGCAATTATGCCAAGATCTAATGCCATAACAAACATGAACCTTCAGTTAAAAGACAGACTTCTTCAGCTTAACTTTCTCTAGTGCAAGCACACACCACAACCACCCACCCAAAACAAATCACTGTGCTGCATGTCTATACAGTTTGCATCCGAAGGAGAGAGCAAGGGAAATGATGAAGCAAATTTATGGTTCTAGTAACAGATGTGTAGCCATATCACTTAATAGACTATTGGAAGACACTCAGGCACAGCAGCAATGAGGTTGGCCTATAAAAAAAAGCAGAGTAGAATGGCCCTAATATTTTGTCCAGTAATTTCCGATGAATCCTGTGACGCAGTGCCTGGGCAATGACTAAAATGGAAATAAGGGTGCATATCAACAAGTAAGGGGACAAGAAAAGTGACTATGTCTATAGTAACAGATAAAACAGAGCCAAGATAAAGGCCTGAGAGTTGTTTCACTGTTGTCCATACTGTTTTATTGTTGCTACTCTCCCATGCCCCTCTGTGCTGGTTTCTCACGCCATGCTCTGAAACTCTCTGAGGGACCAGCATGTGCTGGGCATCGATCCCAAGAGGCCACTATGAGGGAAGAGGGTGAATATTTGGATGCAAATTTCACTGTGCTATTTAGTTGCAGGGCCAGAAGGGCCAGAAAATGGGCCACAGATCAATTTATTTACTGGTTCAGGCACAGCTAATGGATACATTAATGGCTGAGTAAATCACAGATCTATCTCACAGCTAGTGTGGACGTGACAGTCTGGAACTACCAACTCGTTATTACCTCTAAAGTTCAGACTGAAGTTGGCTATGACAAATCATTAAGGACTTAATGTGGGCACATTCCACAGTGGGTAATTTAGAAGATTCCCGTCCAAAAACTGCACAAAGATGGGCTGATGCAGCAAAGTGGTCCTTGACATTTAAGGACTGAAAACAAGTATGAATGAGCCGTAATTACCACCCCTAAGAAAGTGCATCGTAGTGGTAAAATTTGGAGGTGTGGCTGAAACTGAAAAACTAGTGCCTTCAGGGACCTCTGAGAGACCTGCCTTATTAGACCTTGTGAAAGCCTCCACTCTGGCATTTCAGCGGATATCTCCAAAAACAGATGTCTTGTCTAGCAGCCTGGAAACAACCGCCTGAAATTACTATGGATGAAAATTGTTTGGTGTATCATAAGGAGGGGCTGAAGAGAGCTAAAGCACATCCAGAACACAGTCTTGGAAGTGAACTAAAAATTGTTCTGAAATGGTGTGTAAAAGGATTTGGTGGGGACGTTTTTAAGCTGCCATGTACTGATATAGCCAGAAACTGACTCATTGCAAATGGGAATATTGCAAATATATATATGGTATTCAAGCTGTTCTCCAAGACTGTGGAACACTTCTCCTGTGGTTACATTTTGAATAATACAAGATAATTAACAGTAAGGGAGTGGGTGGAAAGTGGTGAATACAATTTCTGTCATGAATGTGAGGCAGATATCCAGAGTATAAAGGTGGATAGGGTAGAGAAGTGAGGGTAGTCTCACTTCCTAATAAACCAAACTCCAAAATTCAAACTAAGGGAAGTACTTCATGAAAAAACATGGGCTCAGATCTAGGTTCCTAGTTCACTGTGACCTTTCTCTATCAAGTTTAAATTTCATATAAGGAGATGAGCTTATGGGCTGGAGCCCAACTGTGGTTGGGAGACACAGTTTGGTGGCAGCAGTCCTCCATCAAGTGGAAATCAATAAGGGCTGATGAAAGTTGTGTCTAGATGGCCCTCTCACGAGTAAATAAAGCTGTGAGTTAAACCACATCCTTGCACCTTGTCTTCTTCTACACACATCCAGGACAAAGGAACCACCTGCTTTACGAACAAGCTTATGGTTTAAAGTTGTGCCAGATACTAGACCACTAAGATAAACTTGTAGATCATCATTAGATACTCATAGCTACCCTCTTCCCCTCAATGTCAGAATGAATTCATGCAGTAGTAGTCTTACCAGGAAAACAACTTTACAATTTCACCATATCTTGTAGGCTCCCTTCCACCATGCAATTTTATTTCTCTGGTAGCTCGCTGACTCAGTAGCGTGATTTTTATCTCTCTAAAACATTTGGAAGAGCTTGTTTACTCCAAATCCAATCTCTTCTACTGCTGTTCCTCTCCTCTTTCCTGGTAAATCACTCTAGCAGTGGGCAGAGTGAAATGGTGTTTCCAGGACTTAGCATTTGGGATGGCAGATGGGCAGCGAAGAATCTTCTTACGGAGGCAGGGAACTGTGCTAATCACTCCCCTGCCCACTTCAGGAATTGTTCATTTACAGCATACATTGCAATCTGTTGTATTTCAAAGCTGTTGTTGATCCATATTTTGTTCCCCAAATCATTATGATATGGTGTCCTTTTCCCTTCTGTAACTGCATTGAACTCTGCAAAGCTATACTAAGACTGAAGATTGCCTTTACATTTCCTGAGGGTAGCTAAATGAACAGAGGAAGTGCCAAGGATCTTTACCTTAACAGGGTTGAACTGCGAGAATTAACTCACAAAGCAGGCTAGAAATTGCCTTACCTGTAGCACACGACTGATAAATCATGGATGATCATACGATGGAGGAAAAGGCACTCATTCAATTAATCTAGGTTTAAAAGCTTTCAAACCTCTAAGGTAAAAGGTGAGTAATGTCAATATTTTATAATTCCCCCATTGCTTCCTGAGTGACAAATACTTTTTAAGCACATTTATTAATATACCTTCAATAGACAGCTTATAAAACTAAGGAAAAGCACAACAGGCAGGAATCTGCCCTTTGCTCCAAATGAACCAAATGTGTAAAATTGAAAGCTGAATTGGAAACGGAAAGCTTTGCAAAATGAGAAAGTAAGATCTGTGCTTCCTGAAAGCCTGTCTTCAAGCCATATGAGTGTAGCAAATACACCTGAAGGCAGTATTTAGTAGTCTTCTCAATGCGCACTTAAAGACAAGAAGGAAAAAAAGGTGCTTCATTACTATAACTGCAACATAGTCTACTACTGTAAAAAGTGCAAATTAAAAACAGGATAAAAATTCATACAATCCCATATGACTGTACCACATTACTCTGAGAAACAAAGAGATGCTTGTCAGTTACTACATAAATGCTCTCAACCCCTTAATACTTTTTTGTTTCAGTCATTCAAAGAGGAGGATCTACGAATGCTTGCCAGTCATTCCCCTCAAAAAAGAGTTTGATGGCAACAAACAAGATGAACTTATGAAACAAGAAACAGGAGCTACTGTGGCCGTATTTTTTTTTTCTTTCAGTAGGATATGCGATAAATTCTGTCCCACAGTCCTCACAAGGCAGTATCCACCTGGGGGGAAGGCTTCAAAGGAATGCTTACCGGGTCACCTCCAGACGCAAAGGAAATAGATTGCATGTGGTGATTTGCTATGATCTGTATGGATCAGAAAGAACAAGTGTAAGTCAGACAGTTTTCTTACAGTTTACACTTTTTTGATTTCTTTTCTGGCTTGCATATAGGTGAAAATCCAAAATCAGGATCAAAATTATCCACAAGGAGTAAAAAGAGTAGCAAAATAATATAAACAAACGGAAGGATCAATGAATCTCTCCTGGTGTTCTTTAAAACGTATCAGGACACCACAAAATTGCTAAATGTGCTCAGAACTCCAGTAAATCATACAGATCTGTCAGACAGTATCTTTGGAGAAATTTTAATCAGCAAAAACTCCCTTTCTTTATTGCAGATAACGATGAATGAAGCAAAAGGTCCTATTCATCACAACATTTTTCTGCTGATGCCACTCTGGTGAAATCAATGAAACCATGCCAATCCGTACACCAGCTAGGGTTCCTAACATCGTTTCCAACACCCACTGTGTCATTTTATGTTTCAAACATCGACATGTTTGCAATATGCAAACAAAAATCTGACTCTAGCTGCACTGTAGCATTGTGGACAAAATCACAGGCATAATCCAGGGCATTTGAAATTCAAATTGCTTATGTACGATTTGAACTAATACAATATTTCTCTGGGAAGAGACAAATTGTCCTGAACATACAATACTAGCAGAACAGCTCTGCTATTCTGAGATTTAACTTATGAAATCTTTTAATAATGAAATCATGTAATAATCAAGAAAGAAAAGGTCATTTGAAAGAAACTTTCACTTGATATTTGAGTCACATAAGCCATGCCAATGAATTCATCTAGGAAAGGACAGGCCTCTATTTAGTGCCTCAAAGCATGTGACAATAGAATTAGTATCTCAGTTTGGAGAGGGAACCACATAGTTTAGAAAACTGTTTTGGAAAAAAAAATAGGTTGAAATATATTCTCTGGGATGTTTTCCCTATCCTGCATCTAAAAGACCTGAACTAGCAACTACCTTCCTTGGAAAGAAAAAAGCCTGGCACGACTTTGTCTGGATCTTGCTGCTTCATTAAGTCAGAGAGAGTTGATAACTATTTGCAGTGTTTCTTTCATGTAAAGAGCACTTCATTTTCAATAGCCCTGCTTGTCTAACAGCAGCCTCTGAAGATGTGGTTAGTTTTTAAGTGTTCACTGGTGAATTAGTGTTCCATTACTCATCAGTGAGGATATCCTTCACTTTTTCCCATAAAGAAGAAGTAATCTTAACAATAGAAATGAACTAGTGAAGATCTGTTACACATTTAATATTGTCACTACCCTGACTTGTACAAATAACCCAATCTTTTACTCCAGCATCATATAAAACAAAAATTATTTTAGATTGTCTCTAAGCTAATTTTTCCAAGTTTTAAGAAAACTGAAAAGTGCTTGAAGCCATTAGTTCAAGTCAGGGGTTTTTTTTAAAGAAATATACTAAACAAACCATCTTCCACCCAGCCCTGCCTAACATATTCACTGAATTGTTGCTGCAGCATATGCAATTGCTTTCCTTCTACCCTCAGGGCCAACAACGCTGTCTTGTCTTTTTTCTTTCTTTCCAGCTCCCCTGGGAAAAAGAGGCTATTACAGAAGTTCACAGCCTTCTTCCTGTGTGGGGCCTCAAAGGGCAAAGCTGCTGGGCCATTCTTATTTGCAAATCAAATGCTTGGTACAAACAAGAAACAGGGGAGACCACAGCCACACTAGGGATCGCTGAGAAACCAGACGTTTCCCAGGCCAGCAGCACCCAGAAAAGTCTATCTCAAAAAGAATTATGTGAGAGAAAGATGAAGAGTTTTGTCAACTCAGAGAAAAGGCAGAACATCTGGGGGATGACTCTGCTCTGCAATAAATCAGTTTAACTACAATTCTGCCCTGGCACTGGCTGAAGACAAGGCGACTTTCAGGGCTTGGCACTTTCTTACTAATTAACATCAAGTTCCTGTGTTTCTGACTGGGGGCAACTGTCCCTGTGAGAGGCACTGCTGTGTATATTCCATAGTAAGGCTACAAACTGCTGCATCCAGCCATAGCACTGCTCCCAGTGTCTCGGTGCTCACTGCAGGAGATTTGGATGTTTTCTAAGCAAGGATGATGATAAATGAACGAGAACATGATGATAGTAATAATCAGCAAGTTTTTTTAATGGACAGTGTACATGTTCTTTCTCATTCTTTAATCCTGATGCCCTGAAGGATGGTAGGAACTTTATTGTTTTCCTCTCTGGCTGTATCTGGGCAGAAAGTCGTTGTGCCCTAACAGAATATGTGGCTCACAGCAAATAGCACAGCAGTGACTACGCATGTCCATCTGCTTTCTCTTTGTATACCCTGAGCAAGGATTTTTCTCATCTCATACATCATTCACAAACCACTGCAGTGATTCCCCAAAGTGCGTCTGTACCTTCAGCACAGTGAAGAAGAAGAAATAAGCTACTTGAAAAAAGGCTGCCTTGTCTCTCTGAAAGACTGGCCTTTCACTGCACTGCAAAATGCCCGAGGCTGTATTTTTAGCAGTGCCTCAGGAACGGTTTGCCCTTTCAGACTCTAAATGGAAAGAAAACAGTGAAATTGGGGATGTACATTCAGTCCTTTAGTTGGTTACTCCAAGCACATCCCTTTTACCATCCTGAAAGTTTGTAATTGTACCCAATAAGAACTACTATGACCAGAAAATGACATTTCATGTCATAGGTCTTATAAGAGCAAAACCAATCTACCAGAAACAGGGCAAGAAGGAAGTAATTCATGAAAGCTGTGTTGAATACTGGAATAAGCTGACTTCTACTATGATTCATGTTTCATTTTTATTCATTTTATAGACATTATTGAGGAATAATAACTTTGAGCAACTGAGTATTTGACAGACAGCAGCAAATTGTTCATCAAAAGCCTTACAAATTAGTACAGAAGTTGCACTCACCTGTTTCGTATCAGGATTCATTAGATTTAAGCTGGTGGTGGAGATATTCAACATTATGCTCGTTCCTGCAAACTGAAGATTGCTCTTTCCCAAGATGCTAGAAAGGACTTTGCTTGGTGGCTGTGAGGAGGGGGGGAAAAAAAGCAGATTTTTGTTCTCTGTTTATTTGGGATGACCTTCATTGTATGCAGGGTTAGCGGTGATCTGAAAGGCTTTTAAAAGGTTTATGACTTTCAAAGAACATTTACTCACAACAGCTGCTTCCCTCTGGAAATGATTTCTCATTTATACTACTACTGCTCCTACTAATGATAGTAGCTAGGCAGGTAGTCATCTACTCTTGACCTAACAAAACAAGAATATATGATATAAAAGAAGACCTGATAGAAAACAGGGGGTTTGTAAGACAGCAAAGTCTCACCTTCACTAAGGAACCAAGTAAGCAGACTAAGATAAATGCCTTCAGTCAGTATCTTAAAATGATAATGTTCTTATTCTATAAAAACAGCTTCGACTCTTGAAAAGAAATCTGTTCTCTGCATCCACTGACTTCTCTACCCACTCACTCCCCACATGGAAAGTGGGACTCCAGGGATACCGATGGGATGCTTACAAAATGGGATACAGAGTGTTTAATTCCTTTAAAGATCTCCTCCAACCCAAACCATTCTAAGATTTTGCTTGTGGACTTCTTAGCAGTAGGCAAAAGCCCAGACACAGGCTAAACAAAGTCTCAGTATGCTGCAGTACCACATGCAGGTAAAGATTACTCCTAACTCAGAGAATAAGTACAAAGTGTTGGAATGTAATAAAGGGGATGTAACAATATTGATAACTTTTGCAGGCATTTCACTAGCCCTCAGGAGGTTTTGTAGCAAGTCAATAAGTTATGTTGACAAAGCAAAATTCAAAAACTTCTCATCTTTGACAGCTTTGGGGAACCACAAATCTATGTGAGAGCTGCCTCATTCAGGTAAACCACAGCCTGTACAAAATCAGGGTGCCCAGCAGTAACAGACCAAGTCCTTCTACTTGCTGAATTTCCACTTGTGAATATTTATGCTGGTTATTAAGATATAAAAGCAAAGCTGTGACTGGAGGCAGTGTTCTTCTGCCACTGTATTTGCATTTGTCCTAAGCTGCCTGCAAGCTTGGAAAGTTCTGTTCATAGCAGGATGGACACACCTGTGCTTTTGTAGACCTTAAAAGTATACATACATTTAGTTTTAGCTTCTTTTCCTTCTGTTTAACTGACTAAAAATACACTACCTGCGTACTGCTCCCATGTGATGTCTGTGCTGCACTATTTTAGCATTGTCACATTGCAGAGCCAGTACTTCATTAACTTCTCAATAAAACAATCTCCTTTGAACATTCTTGTATATCTCTTCTTTCCTTAATCCTTCATGATTCCCAGGTTGTGCCTAAAGATCACATGCCCACAGTGCAGTTAAAATGTGAAAACATGCCCTCAGGAACTACATGTCACCTTAACCAATTTGATAAGCCACCAGTGGCAAAAACGTGATGAACACACAGACCAGTAAAAGAGACCTGTTTAGCTGAGTTCTGTTGCTATTCCTTTTCAATAACTGGTAAGCAGCATTGCCTCTAAAACCCGTAACAGAGCAAGCTGTCTCACTAGGCAGGTGGAACTCCGTTTAACTCACTTTTCCAATTATACTTTGTGTCGTTTTGCTTTCCAAGGAAAAAAAAAAGATACTTTTGTCTTTATTTTCAGTATTAAAACAAAAAGCCAGAGAAACAAGAGATGCCAGTGTGATAAATGTGGTGGTGGGGAAACCACAGCCCTAATTTCTGAGGCAATTTCCAATTGCGCCGTGACATGTGTTGTCACATATGCCTGATTTTACCAGAGGAAGATCCTCCATTGTAAAAAACAAGTGGCATTTCATCCCATCCCTTTCTACTGAGGCACTGCCTAGATGGTGCAGCAGGTGGGGAAGTGGACAGACCTTTTTGTTCACCCCCCCACTCTCCTCCTATGCCCAAGATCTCACACACGGGCTATAATTAACTGCTTTCTATGCTTCTTCCCTCAGAGTCAGCAATATATCCCAGCTTTGCCAGCAGGCCTCTGGAAGAGCAGGCAGAGCAAGACTGTTGAGAGTCACCAGTGCATGAGCTGAGCCAAGGCTTCCTCCGCTCCCTGTCTGAAGATTCTAACTCCTACCACACAAATAAAAATAAAAGCATGACAATAACCGTGTCAGGGACACACTGGGCTCACCATAAGTGCTGGCCACTGAGCATCAGCCACATGGAAAGAGCATAGGGAGAAAAAGATCAGCTGATATGTTCTCTCCATCCCTGGGAATCAGTGATTAAATGATTAAACTCATTAAATGTCACCAGTAGAGCTATGCTCAAAGAACTGACCTAATCACTTTCAGAGCTATGTATGTTTTTGGCTTCTGCTCTACCTTCCAGCACCTTTTTCCAGGATTTACTCATGCATTTTGTTAAAAGCCACCCCTTTTGTTTGTTTTAACTCTCCCACATGTGATCTACAAAAAAAAAAATAAATAAAGTAAAAGGAGGGGGTTTCTACAGAAGCCATATAAAGGCACAGTCTTCGTCCTAGATGTATTCATGCTTCCAGATGCCTAAAAAAGCAGATCCCGACGAAAAGGGCAAGCGACAACACACCGTGGGTGAAAACAGCCAACACTTTACGTGATTAATGATCTGCAATTCTCAAAGCTGCTTTAAAGTCACCTGCCTGCTGTGCCCGGTCTCCTCTGTGCTGAACTAAGAAAATAGAGTCAACTGCACTACAAGAAAAGAAAAATACCTTTCGTTTCTTGAAGGCTCCTTTGGCACCAGGCACGGCTTCACAAACACGACTGATTGCTTCCCTGAAGAGACAGAAAATAGCTTTATGGCAAATTAATGTGTGGATTTCTTCATTACGCTTCAAATGCACTGGAGAGAACAGCTTCAGACCATATTTCTGCTTACAAGTGAGGATAGTTAGCAGGTCAGTTAGCTTTCTCCTCCAAAAGAAAATGTTTTCTTGTACTATTAAAAAGAGATTTTTCTCACTGTAAATAGAAATATTAGCCTTAATGCCTTCTTCCAAGTCTCATTTTTGTACATTGCTTAACACCTTTTTTAAAAAAAAAAATTGTTTCTTGTAATGTAAGAGTTAGAAAGGATCATTTTTGTCACTACTATACTATGCGTTTTTCCAGTCAGAGCAAAACCACCAGGTTTTAGATAGCATTAGAACCCTAAAACATTCCTGGTAATATGCACGTTGTATATAATACATGTGATGTACAAAATTTTAACTGATATCTGTTCACTACAATCTGAATAATTTATTAGTGGCCTTATTTTTACATTGTAAGCAAGATTAATGCCACCAACATTTTGCTTCAGTTTTGTAATATTGCTTCATTCACCCCATTGCACTTGGGTTGACTGAAAGAAATGCATGTTCAAAAATGATTTGAAGTTACACCCTCTCATAGAAGAGTAACTGCGTACCACAAAAACTCTTGAAATCATACTGCTACAAACAAATCTTGTAGTTACTTTCATGATTTACCAGCTTATTTTCTGAATAGTCAGTCTGGTCCAGGTTTAGAATTTGCTCCCGTGCATGTAGAGACTTTCCTCTGACCACGACAAACAAAGCTATAATAGGCCTGTCCCACTGATACTGCAGAAGAATTCCTCATTTCACAGGAACAAGCAAAGGTGACTCCAAACCTTGTTAAACAACTATTTTTAATATGTATTGAGACTAACAGGACATTATATTTAGAGCACAGACCATGCAAATAACAATACCTTATGCAACAAGCAAATAGAAAACAACAGTATGGGAGACAATGAACTACAAGCTAAAGAACAGTCAAAATAACCAAAACCTTGAAACATCACCTGGATAAAAACATAAAATATGTTAACTTTGTGCCATATGCAGTGTGTTTCAACTACGCATTGGGTGATGGCACAGGATCAACAAATGAATCAGGAGAGAAATTCATATACTTATCAGTATTCAATGTATAATGGCTCAGGAAATGTCACAGATTACACCTGGTTGCAATCAGTAAGTGCTATATAGTTATGCCTTGGGTGCTTTTACCTAGGGCCCAATCCAAAGTTTGAATCACCTGAAAGAATCACATGAATGTATTACGTTTTGGGAGGTGGGTGGTTGTGAGAGTGAACAGGGCTTGAAGCAGGTCTACAGTCCTGCCATTCTGAAAAAGCGTGAGATTTATAGCAAGAATGGTCAAAAAAGCTTTCAGGCATACAATCCTTTCTTCAGGTCTAGAAGAGAGCTTGTTTGTTCCACAGCTTGTTTTTTGGGGATGTTTTTCCCCCCTACCTACATCTGCTTGTCTAATAAAATTGCCTCTCACTACAAACCTCGCCTTGCATATGCACTCAGACCACTATAGCTACAACAGCATTCCATTTCACAGTTCAGTGCTTGTAGTTAGTTCCGACATTCACCACAATGTTTTTTTGATCCCAAGCAAGTGTTTTAGTTAAAGTAGTTACTAACTTTTCTTACAGAGAAAGTAAAAATCAGTTGCTTTAAAGGAGCAGCCCTGATGCATCTTAGAAATAAAAGCACAGCAAGCATCATGCATACTGATCACCATGCTACTGAGACATAGGTTACTCCTGGAAATGTGATCAGGAGAAATGAATATTACTCTTCTCAAATGAAGAATTCACTAAAAATGTTTTTCTTTGGCTCAGGACAAACAATCAGACACCATGTTTTAGAGAGTCATCCCCTTTGGCTACTGAGCTACTTGTGGTTTCCTTACTCTTTCTTCCACAGAACCAAATCCTTTGGAGGCAATGGGGTGAGCAGTCCCAGCCAGTGACAGCCTCCAGCCCACTGCTGTCTTTAAGACTCATGACTCTTGCTTCACCAGGTGTGTCTTAGCTTCCCTGGCGTTTTGGCTCTAAGTTGCTCTCACAGAGACATCACCAACACTTCATCCTCTTTGTCTTCTCCAGTGGTCCAGCTGGTGCATTGAGACACCTGAGAGGTTTTGCCTCTCACAGAACAGGTTTGTATTTCAGAGATATGAACTGTGCTTGAGGGATAAATTCGGATGTAATTTCCTTTCTTTTCCTATTTGCCTCCACCATCTTCTCTCTCTAGTGGCAACATGGAATAAAAGAGGGTTTTTCAAGCCACTGCATCTGACAGAACTTATGTACAATCTTGTTATTTTTCTAGTACAGGGTTGGGATTTGTAGTGGTTTTACTACTACCTCTACTGTCTGCCAGCTCCTTGTAATCAGACATGAAGTGTGTTACTCAATAGATTCATCTGACTCAAAGACCTTGTCAACCAAAACTGCCACTTAGGTGTAGGAGTGGAAACACTGAAAAGGCTTGAGCTTGGGGCAGAAATATGGCAAAGCAGCCTTAGCTACTCCTTTTACACTCTGCCTTTCCTTGCCATGGAAAGGCTGGGCTACATGTCCTCTCACTCAGGAACAAAGTTCTATACATTTTCCAGCTACCTGTCTTCATTTTAGTAAAATAGCTCAGTTTTACTGAACTCAGTGTTCTCAAAGGCTGTGGCCATGCTGTGGCTCTTCAGAGTTTCTGAAACTCTGTGAATACTGAATGTATTCGAGCAATTGCAGAGTTTAATTTAAGAATGCTTTTAGTGAGAATGCTGGGAACTTCAGAAAATACATTCACAGAGCAATTCTGCATAAGCAAGGTCAGAGTGCCCTGGCATCAACCCTTTGCATACCTGCAACAGAGGGCACAGTACTTTTCCTGTGTGGGAGTTTAGAAGTCTAAAAGAGGTATTTTAACAAAACAAGACAAAATAGAACAGCTGAATATCTGCCACTGCACTGATAGGCACTTTTTTCCAAGGACGACCAAGATAGTTAGAGGGAGCACCTGCCCTATGAGGAAAGGCTGAGACAATTGGCATTTTCAGATAGGAAGAGAGAAGGCTTTCGGGTGACCTAAATGCATCCTTCCAGTACCTGAAAGGAGCCTGCAAGAAAGATAAAGGGAAACTTTTTACAGACTTTTTACATGTAGTGATAGGACAAGGGGAAATAGCTTCAAACTGGGAGCAGGTTTAGATTAGATGTTAGAAAGAAATTCTGTGTTGTAAGGATGGTGATGCACTGGCACAGGTTGCCCTGAAAAGCTGTGGATGTCTCATCCCTGGAAGAGTTCAAGACCAGGTTGGACGGGGCTCTGAGCAACATGGTCCAGTGAAAGTCATGAATGGGGGTTAGAACTAGATGATCTGTAAGGTCCCTTCTAACCCCAAAAATTCAATGATTCTATGACAGTTCCCAGATCACTCCATTCAGAACATTCTAGGAGGATGGGGGCAGGGGTGTCTTTACACAGATAGCCTGGTGATGTGGAAAAGTCAGCCTAAAGATTTCTTTCCAACTTGCATGGTCAGGCAGTACAGGGCAGACGTAAGCTTCTTTTTTTTCAGCAAATCAAATTTGCAAACGCCTCAGCAGCACAAAAACCTCAGCCACAAATTGGGCCCAGAAACAGATACTGCTGCTACGTTGAGAGTGCCATCACTTGACCTGTGTGTGTGGAAATGCTTGCCCAAGGAAGGCAGAAGTCCTGAACATATCTGCACGGCTAAAAGTTGCACAGAGTTTGGAAAAGTTGGGTGCAACCACATTTGCTTCCTTTCCAATTAGAAAGTTATTTGACACAGACACACATCACACCTTTCTAAGCCACATCGTGTTTCATTAGTTAGGCTCAGATAAAAACCAGTGTAAAGCCAGGCTGATCTCTTGTAAAATTAGTTACTGCGCTGTCTGCAGCAGGGACCACACGCTGAGTTCCAAATCTGCCCAGAAGTATTTTCTGCTTTGCAGATGGTCATACCATGGAGTCATTTTCTTGGCACGAAACATTTTGTGCATTTTGAATATAATTTCAGCATGCAAGATTATCCAGTAAAAAAATTACCAATATGCATTTTCTGAAACTCACCTATTCTGCTATAAAGTGACTTGACATCTGAGACAGAAAAAAGGACATTTTACATTGCCATTTTGCTCCATTAAAAAGCCTGGTAGCTTTCATAGCTTTAGTGATATTTTACTGTGCTATACAAAGTAGCTGGCTCAGGAAGCTCAAATCTGCTCCTCTGTGGAACACCATCACATGAAAATACTCTCCATTCTTGTGGTTTCAAATATTTTTCTGATTGTGCTGTTTTAGTTGTTGCTGTTCTTAATTAATACAATTTAATTGATTAAAAACCAACTGGAACTCATATTTCAGGGAAATGACAGGCACATACAAACAGCACAGATTTTCTCAACATATTTGGAAAAAGTAAAGCCATGCCAAATAATGAGACAAGAAAATGTGACTTGTCTTTAGTCTGAAATGTTTTGTATCACAATACTTAAAACCATCTAATATTCTCTTAAGATATTTTAGTATCCTGTAGTCCCCAAGGTTACCTTTTCCACCTCCAAAGCTTAGGACTTCACAGGTTAAAAAAAACAGACATCAAAAGGTGGATTTTCTAAATGAAAGCATGACATGATCGGAAGAATTGTACAGAAGACTTACAGTTATTTCTTAACAGTACTATGTTCCTGTCAATTTTAATAACTTCTAAATCATTACCAAGTATTGTACCAGTATTTCCTGAGGAGAAACAAAGTCTGTACTAAATATAAAAATAACTTGCTTCTGAAAAAGAAAAAAAAAAAAAAAACAAGCCAGAGACCAAAAGCACATTTTTAGAAATCTGTTTAATAATTGAAATACTGTTTGTTCTTTTGCAAAACAGGCATAACGAGCATGTGCTGTCTGAAGTAGGACAGGGGACATCCACAAGCTCTGAACACT